TTTGATCATCACTCTACCTGAATAAATCGTATTATGTCTGTTGTGACATTTTATGTGTGACATCCTGTGATCAAGCCACAGTATCGTTCTTAGCTGCAAAAGCCACCATTTATCCATTATACTGGGTAATGTTTCTTTTAATATATTATTTACATTTGTGTTATTGTCAGAAGTATCATTCAGTATTTGATCATATAAAGATTTCAGAAGATGATTTTAATTGGTCATCAGTAATAGTTACACTACAAATAAACAGTGCAGATTGTTCTAGATACTTTTTATTTTCACCAAAATTACTCTGATAATCGAATACTTGCATAACAGGCTTTTAACTTTTATTTTGCAATCCAAAGCTTCTGCAGTGATAGCGGCTCAACAGGAGATGGCCTTCGGCATGATTGGTTAGAGCAAACAAAGCAGAGCTGACAGTAGGCCAATAGAAGAGCAGCAAGCTGAAGGTAACTCTTTTGTCACCAAGCGACGGATTATGGACCACATTGAGGCTAGAAACAGCAAACTTTTAATTCCATAAAATATATAATATGAGCAATGATGCTCTTTAGTCAAGGTTTGGGTAGATCACTCATTCAGTAGATAGTTTTAGGTTGTTCTCTTATCACTTTCAACATTTTATAGTCCAAAGTGAGTTGATGTATTCCAAAGGTGTCTTTTTAAGGCTTAGTTGGCTGAATAAATGGAGAACTAAAGAAATAAGGAATGAAGAACCACAGTTGTACTCCTGAGTCACTGCCTTTCAATTGTTGACTTGTTTTCTCTGTCTTGTACTTCTCCTTTTTTACCTAGTTTTTCATCTGTTCAAAATCTCCTGACATACATTTCTGGCCTCATGTTCTCTGTCATTGTATTAGAGAGAAAGTCATATTAATTCCACAGGGAATCATTCTTTTGTTGCTTGAAACACAGCTGTCATGTGTCTTTGTCACGAATCTGTTTATTGAATTATGCTTCATCTCAAGTGTGCTGCTCTGAGTATCATTCTGACTGTGAATCACGTTTACCTGTGAGGCAGTCTTCATTCTTTTGCACCCTCTTTCTTTCACAGACGCTTTTCCTCTCAGATTCATATGTAGGAAGATACATTTACTGATGTCCAAGGATACAGGAGTTGCATAATTATGCACTGCTTTGTGGTGGTATATTAATACGTTTGAAATTTTGTTGGATATTTGTCTTGGGAAGCTCGACAGCTTGGTTTTTTCTTTTCTGTACTTTGTTTGATGCTACTTGTCATCCAGAACACTGAAAATCTTTAAGTTTCTTGATTGTATTTTTTCTCTCTGTGTCCCACTCTTTTTTTAACCTTTCTCTCTTTTTGTTTCTTATTCAACAAATCCTCCTGCTTGTCACTTTCTTTTGTTTTTGGCCCTCCTGCTGCTCCATGACATTTCGTCATGGTTTTCACCTTTAATTCTCTGCTTCTAAGTGTTGTACTCCACTGTCGGCATCAAGGGGAAAAAAATTAAGAAAACTTTATATGGTAAGGGTAATGTTAGATAGTCATAAAGACCACATAAGCAGATGAAAGAAAAAAGTGAAAAGGAAAGAAAGGAGATTAAAATCATCCTCAGACTAACAGTACTTGGCGAAAGCGAGGAGAACAGTTTTGACTTTTGCCACTCTGAGCCTGAAGGCAGTCATTTTTTTTCAGGTAGAAGCTGTTAAAAGAGGAACTCCACAGAGGCTTTGAGATGTCAGTCTACATCAGCTGCTCATGGGCACGGTGGCAGGTCTTAGGCCTCATCTTATTAAACTCCATAAATTAAGTACAAACTGTCACAAATTAGAGGAAGAGTAATTCAGCATCACATTTGTCAGTGTATTTTTGTTGAATTGCGCTTTCCTGGTGGGCGTAGTTGTGTCTGCACAGCTGTGCTGAATCTGTTCTGGCTGAAGATTTACATCAGCTACTGCAGGCTGACATTATTACTTACACAGTCATATTCTGATATTATGTTGATATAATGGTTACAGTGTTTATCATTCCTTTGCTTACCTGACAAATGTGTGATGAATGTTGTGATTAAGGGGTGTGGTAAAATTGTATTTTACAGCAACCTGAGAGTAATTTAGCTAGCAGCCACCCTTATCCTTTCAGATTAAGGTGAATACATCCTTTTGCTTTTTTTCATGAGAGTGGAAGTTCAATTTCACTATCATTTTTCAGCTGCATGGCGCTGATATTTATATTGGCAAAAACATATATCAAACTCAAAACTTGTGCATTTTTACTGAATCTCCTCACAGGAGGATTTCATTTTTGTTATTATTATTATTTTGGATGCAACACACCCCAGTTGTGTGTCCATCAGCACAGAACCCCTTCACCACACAAGCAAGAATGTCCTATATGCTTTGAATCATCTGCTCCATAAAGTTAAGCAAAAGTTTGACCAAAACTGGTCTTAAAAAAGTCATGATGAGTAAAAAAAAATTAAAAAAATCATAAAGTGTCATATAAAATATTTTTTGTCACTAATAAAACTAATATGAATAACTGTTCATCATATTTATCTGATTGGGTGACATTCCCACAATAGACAACCATGGCTTCAACTTCTCCGGCCTTATGGAAGTCTGCAATGACATTATCTTGTTTCGTTCCATAAAGAATGGCCCATTGTATCCAGGGCTTTTTCAGATAATAAAGGTAGCACAGAAATAAGCTCTTATCATTCCTGACAGATATTTCTGGGACATTTCTATCAGTAACTAACCCTCCTGGGGTAAAAAAAAAATCTTTTGAGCTGAACACTTTGTCTTCCTGTCCTTCTTCCTATGTCAGGCTTGCCACATAGCAGATGGAATGGAAACTGTGCAAATGGCAGACACAACAATGTTTTCTTGTTATGGTTTTATAATGTGTGTGGGCATTTATTTTACATATAATCTACAGATAAGCCAGTGATGTGATTTCTGATTTTCAAAAGAAAAGAAAGAGACCCTCCTGTGATGAGAATAAGCCGGCTGAAATGTCCATGAGACTTTGGGGGGTTTAGTTGGAGTTGATCATCACACTCAAATGAAGATTCACCTGTAACATTTCTTAGATTCCAGTGATCAGAAACTGCAACATGAAAAGAACATGAACATGTGGTCACAGTTAAATGCACACACATTTGCAGTAATATGTTTAGGAAGGAGAGCTATCACAAATAGCTTAAAGAAAAGCTACACAAAATGTTGTGTATACCACATACCAGCTTTGCATATTTAATAATTTATTATAAATGTATTATGAACACTGAATTTTAATGGGCTTTCAGAAATGAGCCAGGGCCAAAAGTCTCTGGCTGTATACATAATTTGGAGTCTGTATTTCATTAAAGATAAAAGAACAGGACCAATGAAACTACAAAAAAGACAGTTTTACAAAAAACGAATACTTGACTGTCTAATTATTCTGCCATGCAGTGTATCTTTGATCAACCGTTTCTTGATGTGTGAGGTTTTTCAATCTACCCTGCAGTTTAGGAAGGTTCATGTTTTTGGGTTGCTTATGATTTTCTTTTTGTATTTTTACTACAAAATGTATTAATTTGGCCTGTGTTTGAGAGCTTCTAGGGTAATTTAATTAGATTGTTTTGATTAGCTTCTTTCAAGTTTGTTTTATGTTAGATTTGATTACTGAAAACATCAAAGGTAAACCCTTTGCTTTCTGTCCCCTGCGATCTGTTCATGGTTAATATTCTCTTTGCATTTGCCCTTTTGGTAATATAAGTTTAAGTCCTAATTTTTCCTGCAATGTCTGCATGCTTTGATTTCATCTGACTTGTTATTTTCTGCTCTGTAAGCCTGCACAGATTCACAGCTGAAGGTGGAGAAACTTTTTGGAAGTTCTCAGTATCTTGTCTCTCGGTTTCTGTCTTGCCTTCGCTTGTGTTTTTTTTTCTTTCACCTTGTGATCTCTACTTCACAACAGTGAAATTTCCTATTATATACACCAGAGTGTGTCTCCCCGAAGTACAGGGAAGGTTTTATCTCTGCACCTAAACCTTTGATATATTTGGCTCTTTTTCCTTTTTTCCCTCTAATATTTTTATCATAGTATAAACCAACTGATGCATCTCTACGAGATGCCTGTCGAAACTAATATTTATTTATTTATTTATTTTAGAAACTTGAGTAAATATAGAAAATATCCCTGTTCTGCGTGGAAAATTCTGCAAGTAAACTAAGTTATGGTTAATCTTCGTAGCAGAATGGCATTATCAGCATGTTTCCTTCACTACCTTCACATGCTATTTTCATACCAGCAATTTGTTTTGAAGGATTGTGAGAAGAAAAAGCCTTTTCTGTCCGACTATCACAAATATACACATTTGTATCTTTGACAGCAAACACACCAGATTGATTTGGTGTCAAATAAAGGAAGAAAGCATGGACAGTTACAGTTTCTCAGGTGATGGCATGATGAACCACATTCCAGTCCATTGCATCTGAAATGCTGGAATTTAGAGGAAAACTTTACCAGGAAAGTGAAAATTGCTCATTTTTTGAAACCAGAACTTATCAAAAATAATTGACCAAATTAATACACAAATGGTTCACCAGACACAAAATGATGATTCCTTCATGGCCATCTTACATCTAAATCTAGATATAAATGCTATTGGAAAGCTGTAGGTGTTCTGAAAGAGAGGGAAGCCATAGAGAGGACCCTGAACAAAGATACTGTTCAGAAAGGAATGAGCAAAGATCTATTTCTGTGTTCTCTGAAATGGTACATTAAAAAGATTTCTGCTATTTTATTGACTAAAGTTATCTGCATAAAGTACAGACAGCAGAGGATCAATAAGTATGTCACAAATGATTTTAGCGAGAAAAACAACATCTGCATTCTTCAGAATAAATGATGTCCTCAAATTAAATGTTGGATCTGTTTACATTTTGTGTGGTATATGCCATTATACCAAATAAATTCCATATTGTAGCTGATAAAACCGCATATGTTCCTTTCTGGTTTCCCAATTCCATTACAGGTATTTCACCAACATTTCCCTCAGTGGACGAGATTATTCCTTCAACAGTGATGGCTACCTGTCCAATCCCCTGATCGATGTCATTTCCTACACCAATGGTAGAGGCTGGGAGGAGGTCAGTACACAACAGTGCACACTCCTGCTAAATATCACAATGCAACAACAAGATAAGTTAACTGCAATTTCACACTCCATCAGATATGCTAACTCATCACTGTATATTTTCACCTCTCTGCTGTCTCACAGCTTCTTTTACTCCCATATCTCATTAGATCTTTCCCTCCTTTCCTTTGCTGCTCTTGTCTAGTTTTGTCAGCCTTGTTACTCACTGCTAACTCACAGTCCAATATCCTGTCCATCAGAAGCCTGTTTAACAATTACACAGTAATGCCATCAAATTTAAGGTCTGCCCTTTTCAACTCCACCAGTCCTCCTTCGACCAGAAACAAACAAGAAAACCTCTTTGCTTTTGTTTCCCTCTACTTCATTTGATGCTGACCGTTAAGACTTGATCTGTTTATCAGTGAGGATGGACTCAAGTGTGAAGTGTAGCTTTGTGAGTTTTAGTTTTCAAAATAGATAAGAGGTTACTTTTCACCTTTCTATTAATTCAGAGCATGAGTGAGAGAGATTTATCTAGAGAGATAAGTTTATCATGTTAGGTGACCTTAGATCTATGCAAAATTCATGAAACCCTAAACTATGAAGGTGGTATATTTATATCTCTCACAAATGGTTTCTTTGCATTGAGTCTTTCCAAAGCCCTCATAACATTACTCACAAACTGCTTTTTCCTTGTCAGGTTTACACTGCTGTTTTATCATTTTTGGCTTACACGCTAAAAAGATAAACATTAGCAAATTTCCAATTTTGTGTTACAGTGAGTGGTTGGCCTTGTCCCATTTTGACATTTCATTCTATTTAGCAGAAGGATCTTGGCTGACCTGCACAGATTGTAGACATCCACATCATCATTATCATGACATGCAGCCTTAATAAAGCTCAGTAATAAGGATGAATTGAAGGACATGCCTGCAATCAGATTCCTCTAGTCTGAGAGCAGATTTGGGGCAAAATGTTAAAAATTACAGTAACAGGCCATGTTTATCAGGCCCCAGTGATCTAAATGCACAGTCAAATGTCTCTTCAGTTAGCTTATGTGGAAGCTGTGGGTCAGGAGTTAGGGTTATACTCCACAAATTAAAAAAAAAATGTTGGGCTTACTTTACTGTAATGTTTCTGACCCACATTTCTGCAAAATAGAATATCCCCACTCCTCCCAACACAGACACAAAAACATTAAGCAATAAATTATTTGAATGAAGTTGCATGAAAAGCAAGCTGCATATAGTTTGGATTCAATATTATACATTTAAAGCTTTCTTATACCTTACCGTAGGCAGAATACAATGGACTTTTGGTATTCTCAAGGGTTAATGACCACAGCTGCCCCATATCTAAAATCAATTAACATTTGAGACCCCCTCTAAGATGGCTTAATACTGTATATTTTAATAATTCAAACACCAAATACAACTCAATATACATGGAAACTATCCTAGTATCACACCAGTAGCGAGTCTCTCTTTGCCCCTAATGTCTTCGGGACATTAAAAAATCAGCACCAAGGAAAATAACATACCAGTTATAGATTGGTTGATTTGCAGTCAATAATTTTCTGCATAGTATTGCACCTTTGTATTTCAAAAGAAAAAAAATCACACTCCCCTCCTCCCCCACACACACACACATATATGTGTGTATATTTTTTATTTGCCAGCCAGTTTTTAAACTAAGTGGAGATTATCATTTGAAAATAGCATACTGCATTTAAATCTAGGTATTTAGTATCCACTTTAGGTAATGAGGGCATTGGGTATAAATCCAACCAGGAGAAAGCAGGAAAGTGCTTCACTGGTTCATTGTATGCTTTCAATTTGCTTTTGCAGACATTAGTGGTAAATGTATGGCACTTTGCCTGAGTGGGAAATTAGTTGGAAACAGCTAAAACCTGATGCAGTGCATTGTTCTGCTGGAGCATGATGAATTCAGCACATGGTTCAAGGTTAATAAACTATTATAGAGAAAACAATATATACATTCTTATAAAACAGTGATGAGATGGCATGCCATTTTTCTATTTTCATTCTAAGATGGTTTTACATCTTAGAATGGCACAGTTGACACACATAAAATTGTAATTCTTCTCGCAACTGCAACTTCATAAAACCAACCGGACCAGGGGTTAAAAGTTGGAAACAAAAAGCTGAAAACAAAAAGAACTCAATGAAGGAGACCATTTTTAACAGGAAAATTATTAACTGTTTTCATTCTGTAAGTTTTTTACTTCACAGTAGAGCAAAAGCATTTAGTACAGACAGAAGTTCATCACCTTGATTCCTTTCTGCTCTTTTCTGATGCATCACAGATTTCTTTACTGGAAATTAGGTGAAATAATTATTCGCAAATAAAATATAAATGATTTCCATTCAGTGGAAACTGAGAAAGACGAATCCAAAGAAACTATGCAAAGCGAAAATAAAATTTGAAGAATTTTATGTCTCTCCAAGGATTTTTCTAATTTGTGTTTTGCTGACAAAAAAGAATAATAAGGCAAGGTTTTCAACAGCATTTAAAAAAAAAAAACTGTTTTGATGATTTAGCACGACAATCCTAAATTAAAAGAAAATACACAAAAGTCCACAGTTCTAATGTGTGGACTTTTGGCATTGAAAATCTATGAAAGATCTTCCAAATCACCACAAAGTCTTTTTTCAAAGTCAAAGCAAAACCAAACTCTATCAATTGCTTTAATCATTGATCTTTTTATTTGTTTCAACGCTAGGTTACACCTTTGACTCACCTTTCTACAACTTTCAATTACATTTGAGAATTATATGTATATTTTTAAAGAATTTTAGACTTGATGCTTTTATTCTTAAAGGGTAATTGGACCTTTATATCATATGTATTTTCTTCTTCTAACTATTCTGTGCCCAGTCAAATATAAACTGAGTCATAAAATGCATTTTCGTTTACATTTGTCTGCCTTTAACAACACAGGTTTAGAGACGCTCTTGCAGCTCAGTCTCCAGGCTGCTGTTAAAAAAAAAAAAAAAAACCCATAGTTCAAACAATGTGAAACCTTTTAGCACAAATCTCCAAGCTTCCTTAAAAGTCAGACCTTAGTATCTTACAAGAGCTGGTAGAGCTTTTGATTTGCTCACTGTGCCACCTCTGACCTTACTCTTCAATCCAAACATGCAGTCTGCCAGCAGCCCAGTGTAAGAAACTAAACACCCAGACAGAAAAAATAAAACTACCACCAAATATTTGGCATTACCCACAAAAAATAATTTTTCTTCACGCACAGACGGTACATTATAGATCTTTTGATTTATTTAACATGCAACTAGAATGAAAACATTCTATATATACTTTACATTCACTGCAAGATAAAAAAAAATCCTGTTTTCATGTGGTCTTTGTTCAAATGTTACAAAATTTGTATAATAACATATACAGTTAAGCCAAAATTATTCAAACCCCTTTCAAATTTACATTTTTGAATTACTTTGATTTACCAGGAAGTGTGTTTGTGTTGGGAACTAAGACAGGTGTCTTTCAAAATAAAGACAAAAAACCCCAGGAAAAAAAAGAAGAAAAAATATCCTTATTGGCATTTTTAGCAAAGAAAAAAAAATTCATTACTATTTTACAAATTTGGTTTGTAGCTTACATCCAAATATTTGATGTTAGTCGGTCAGCTCACCATCTCTGTAACGCCACAGATTCTCCATAAGATTCATAATGGACCTCCTATTTCTTTTAGTAATAGACAGAACTGTAGTAAAATTAAAAGAATGTGTTAAACCTTAATCTCCCAAAGGGATAAAGACTTTTGGGTAAAATCGTATTGACTAGAAACGTAGCTCATAGAAAACATCTAAGTATTTATGTGTTTTTTACAAGATGTTACTCTTTTTTATAAGTCATGAATTGCAAAATTTCTTTGGGATCCAATGCAGCAGAAAATATTATTTGTTTCAATGGGCAAAATCAGAAGATAACTAGTGACTCTACTTACAAATGTACTTTGTTTAGCCCCTCTAGGAAATATTTTCAATATTTTATGTGATTTTTTTTCCATAAATCTATTTTACAAAAGATGAACTGTTTACTTTGTAACGTGCACCAACGCACATCTTTCAGAACTCAAAGTGACTTATAATAGTGGACATTTTGCTGTTTGTCATAGACTTTTTTTCTCAGACCATCTGTGCAATGGTAGGTTATGTAGGGACTATGATTCAGTTGTGTATCAAATTAAAATGGATGTTCTTGTAGCTGTGACAAAAGCAAAGGGGTGTAAAATGAGTCACGATGTGTCAAAAGACTTATAGTGACCTAAAACATTGTTTTTGTTTTATATATTTTTTAATATTTAAATATATTCAGTAAAGTTAGAATCCTAAATGACACAGACCAGAGTGTAATTTTAGTAAAGCTGCAATCAAACCTCACAGGATACATCATCATGGTCAGTCTATACTTTAAGGTCAGCTTTCAATTTCTAAAAGCAATTCAGAATGACGTTGAAAAGAACGCAGCCTTTTCGAGTAACTTGAGAACCTGCTGATTTGAAGAATCTTTTTTTTCGCAAAAAATAATTCTACACACACATTCTGCATTTTAAACAGAATGTGAAATAAAATTTTCTTGCCACATGCTTTTTACACTGACCTTGGATATGCACTGCATTGCTGCTTGTAAACTGCAAAAAAAAAAAAAAAACTCAGCATCAGGAATTTACTATTTACTCTTTGATTTAATTAGTTCAGTTAAACAGAATTACAAGCTTCAGTTTCACACACAAGCCAGACACACTCTGGTACTCTCAACACTTCTTAGTCAAAATTAGTAATGAGTCAACCACCAGTGTTTTGGTAAAGTGATGTAAAACACTGTAACGTCCTGTTCTCTTTCCCGGTCTTGTAGCGTATAATAAGACTTTTAGTTTCTATTCCAAGTTGAAAAAGTCTTTGAGCGCGTCTGAATTTCTATAAAAGAGACAAGTTGTCCTAGATTATAAAGCTTTATAGATTTTTATTTTAACATTTTATGTCCTGACATACATATTATGTTGTCAAGGTAGCTCTAAGTCTTTCTAAAGGTCTCTCTCAGCAGTAAGCGCCACTTTATGTGCTGTTACAATGAGTGTATTAGTTTGAAATAGATTTGACTTGAAGCTGTGTTGTATTAAAATGTAACGGTGCAATGAAATGAATTGAAATATGTTTTTAATGTTTTTGCTGCAAATATAAACATGCTCAATACAAAATAACACTAATGTGAGTTGTGCATCATCGACAACATAATGTGACATCCTAAGTACTTCAGCAAAGGGCAACGAGACTTAAATTCCTGTTCCTTGAAAACGTTTTAACTTTCATCGAAGCAGCTGTTTGGCTGAGAGAAAAAACACCAAAGTAAAAGAAGAGTTAACTTGCTGGGTCACAGAGTCTTGGGGGACTGAAAGACTGTGCATATTCGGCTATGATTAAAGCAAATTTTTCCAACATGTTTGAGAATGTGCCGATAAGTGCACAGCACCTTTGTTTCTTGATATTGGGTTATTAAATAGTCATACTGTGAATTATGTTTTACTCCCAGTTAAGGATAATTAATTAATCACGATTTAAGTGCTTACTCATTGGATTTCGATTGAAACAGTTAGAATGGACTTAGATTTGCAGTAGGCTAGAAGTTTGTGGTGTTTTATGGAATTCCTTACAATTCCTCATCATTATTTGGCATAAGAAAAGAAGGTTTATTGTAATGATTTGCTTTTTATACATTTTGCAAATTTTACTTGTTTTCCCATGCACATACATTTGGCCAGCAGAGTCTAGACTGGAAAAGAAAACAGTAAATCCACTGCAATCTCATGGATGATTGCATACCCACTGTCTATGAAAAATGACTGGCAGAAGTGTTTTTTTTTCCTTTGGTGTTCCACCACCAAAGAAAAAGTTAACTCTAAGTGAACTAGAGTTAACTTTTGTAAAATATATGGAATGCATACATGGACAAATTGAAATACAAGATAAAGTTAATTTTACATTGCTGTAAAATATGTTCTTTTTATATTAACAAATCTCTTCAAAATAAAATACAGCAACAAACCCATATGGGTAAATTTAGGAATTTATAATTTATATTATTATTTATGTTATTCTGGCAGTAGGGACTCCATCAGTAATCACTCTAAATTGTAATTTCTGATTCAGGTACAATAGTTTTCATATATATTTCAGAGAGCGACATGAATCTGAAAATTGTGCTTTGCATTTTATTCAGTTCCCTGTACTCATTGCAATGAACTACATTTGAAGTTGCTTAATTTTTAAATTAAAGATAATCTTAGTATATGTATATACTAAGAGTATATGTATAAAACTATCTGAAATCTTTGGAGATTTTTCAGAGAGCAACACTGAATAAACAGCATAACAAAGTCCAAATAACAGCAGAAATGTCAGAGAGAAAATTACAAGACAATCTAAAGAATTCTCATTTGCAGTTTACTACGAGTCATATAGGGGATAAAGCAACAATATTTGTCCTCTAGATAGGAGAAACTACAGCTGAACCTTTTGCTTTGTGGTGGAAAACTAACTGCACTTTACCATGAACACACTACATGCTGGAGGCACCATTATGCTATGGGAATGCTTTTCTCCACCACAGTTGATGGGATTATGGATTTATCTACTTACAGGGCAATCTTGGAAGAAAACCTGTTATAGACTGCAGAATCTAAATGCAAGGAACAATTTTAAGTTTTATTTGAAACCATGGGATTCATGAGAACTTGAGATTAGAAATTGTCTAGTTCGGGTTGCATCATGTTTTTCATATTTCAGCTGCTGTGCATTAAAATGAAGGTACGAAAGAAGGCGTTAAAATACTAGATACAATTATTTTATTTCTGTTTGTGCTCTGTAAAGATTGTTTTAAACTATAGCTATATTCAGACCAGATTTTTTCTTCTTTTAAAATTACTGTGGTAATCGCGACACTGACAGTCAACCTAAAAATAAATAAAAAAACTAAGCTTAGGTACACAGAATAACTGATCACTATACAAACTAAATGTTACTGATCAGTGATTTAGTCCAACTTAATATATATTTTTGCTCAGATATTGGACAACAGAACATAAGCAAGATTTTTTTTTTTTCTGAGTAATAGACAACAATTTTGAAATTAGAAGGTGAATAACTAAAAGAATCTCAAGATGAAGTGCTGGCTAAAAAGTTTTTTAGCAGCACTTTTTAAAAAAAAAATCCCACAAAATGCAAATGTTACAAATAGTTTTGAAATAACAAATAATACAAGGAAAAGGTTCATATGAGGTTTTGAATGTACTAAATATGTCACAATGAAGGATCTATTTTTGTTTTTTTCTGTTTCAGGTTGGCTGGTGGGAGAATGGACACCTGCGCCTGCGTTACCATCCTTGGTCTCGTTACGGCTCCTTCCTGAAGCCTCTGGACGATGCTCAGCACCTCAGAGTGGTCACCCTGGAGGAGAGGCCCTTTGTCATCGTGGAGCCTGCTGACCCTGGAACCAGCTCGTGCATCCGGGACTCTGTTCCCTGTCGCTTGCCTATTAATTCCAGGTAGTAAAACAAAATGCATAAAATGATTTCAATTTTTTTCTTTTTAGGGGTGCTTGAAAATAATATGTTCTTGTTGCTATAAACACAGGTAATAAGAAAATATGGAAGAAATCTTCCATGAATTGACTGCAGTTGGTCAATTGCCAACCGTGACGTAATGTTTTTTCTAACAACCAGCTTCATAAAAAGGAAAAAGGTTCAACATCTCATTAAACATTAAACAATTCTCAAGCTGACGATCCTGAAGCAGTTATTAAACTTTATGGCCACCGTCTACATCATCCTAGGATGAACTTTACAAACAGAGAATGTTTAATGAAATAATTTTCCACTCAAACTTATTGATACGGATATATAAACAGATTTTTAATTGTCCTGGGGGATTAGATAATTTTCTTCCCAGCATTTATGTAAACAATAAAATGACGTCAACAGATCAAAGCAAACATTTATGGGAACAATAGTCTGTTAAACCTATTCATTAAAACTGCAGAGGAAGCTTGAAACTATAATGTAAACCAAGGATAACTGCTGTTTTTAATGAATGCAAATAACAAACAAGAAGGATTACTTATACAGAGTATTACAGCTATTGAACAACACTGCATCCCTAAAACGATAAATATGGGGGTATGTGCTGTTAAGTAGTTTAAATGTCGTAGTTATTAGAACAATTTTAAACATTTCATGAAGCCAAAAATGAACTACAACTGGAATAGCAAAAATGATGTTTCATGTCCCACATGCACTATAACATAAATTGGTCCAGATTATTTATTTTTATATGTTCATACAGTTAATTGTATATGCATGTAGTCAAATAAAGATAGAATCCACATTTGTGTTTGTGTTTGTGTGTTATGTTGTTAAAGAGATAATGAGTTTATTCTTCATCAATTATTGGCTTAAAGAGTGAAATGACTAGCTAACACAAAATCCATAGTAATCGCCAACATCGGGTATCCAGAGATCAGTTTAATCAGAGACTGCATTGCCAGGGATTCATAACTACCTTAATTGGGATCACAGATATTACTATCCCATATCTGATCCCTGTTACTTACAGTTAAAGTCTCCAATGTCTTAACTGTTGGCACATAATTATATTTCTCTGCATTTGTAATAATTTTGCAAAGCCATGCAATTAATTTCTAAACACACAAGCTGCTTTGGTTCTGCACACATTATAGCTTGCAGAATATATGAAATTATTTAATACACAAATTGTTAAAATTGAATTTATGTTAATTAAGATGATGCAATTTCTGATTGAAACTTCTGCAAGTCAGTCGTCTGCATTTCATTAAGTTTCTACAAAGATCAGGCACATTTGAGAGATTCTTACAACTAAATCACCTTCTTTGAGAAGGTGATTTGTCCCATTTTTCTTTCCCAACGTGATTGCAGCTTCTAATTGAAACAATTTCCCCCAGAGTTCAGACCGTGTTGCTTGGTAACACAGTCAAGAGGTTACAATAGCTAAGTGTCTGAGAGGCCATAAAAACTCACTCTTGCTATGGAGAGCTGATGGAGGCCACTGCAGCCACTTGACTGATAGTCATCAAAAAGTACTTGAATTCTTCTGTGTGTAGCTTGCACATCATGCTGAGGTGTTTGCTGCCTAAAGTCTGAAAAGCAGTCTCATTGCAGAAATCTAGTGTGTTTTCAATAAAACCTAGAAGCAAAACACATATTTTATTTTAATTATACAGAACATTTCAGAAAAACTATAGCTGCTGGAGTTATCAAAACATCCCTTCTCCAAATGCACTGGCAAATTGCCAGTACTGATCCACTAAAAGTCACCAGTTAATAATTTATAGGTGACTTCTTTTTCTTCCATCTCCCATAATATAGTTAAAAATGCCATCATTTACTCAGTTTTTTTGGACATTCTTCTTAGGTTTTACCATCTTATTACTGTTATGATGTTTTTACTAATATGTGTCCTTTCTCCCATTATGTTTCTTAGTTTGGTGTTGGACGGAGCTGCACCCATGAAGCACTGCTGTAAAGGGTTTTGCATTGATGTTCTAAAGCGCTTGGCTAAGATTGTAGGCTTTACCTATGATCTTTACCTAGTGACAAATGGCAGACATGGGAAAAACATTGATGGGGAGTGGAACGGCATGGTTGGAGAGGTGAGATTCTTAATATTACCGGAATGTGATTTTGACTTTACAATGTTTTACATGTTCAGGCATTTAAGTTGAGAAGGCTTGTTTTTAAAGTAGAGTTGTTCATTACTTTAGATGCTCTGGAAATACTGGAAGTCTCTTTGTCAGTGAATCCTCTGTGTTGCTTTTTATTTAACAAAATGTGACATTTATTGAGATGGCAGTATTTTACACAATATTTATGCTGAAAAAAGACAGCAAAATAGGAAACTAAGAATCATTTGAAAATTTAAAAAGGCACGTTAAAAACAAAATTTACTATTTTGAATTATTAATTTATTTGGCTAGTAGCTATTTCTTGTTCACTGTTTTACAGTCCATTAATTACCAAATAATTATATCGTTAGTAACTACAGTATATTACTTGGGTCACTTGGTGACTGTTAAAATGTAATCTAATTTTGATTACCCAGTGAAATTTGTTTTAATTACATAGAAACACACTGTCGCTTAGTAGCTGCACGGCTTCATGTGTCAAAGTTAAAACCTAGTGAATAAGAACCAGTGACTTGTTTGTACAATTCCTGTTCATTGAATGAAACAATTCCTATCAGCGTCTTTTAGATATAAATTGTGTCTTAAGCTGAATGTCTGAAGCATGGTCAAAATGACATGATCATCACCCTTGATAGCAATGTACACTTTCCTCAGGGAGACTGTAGGATTAAAGTCTCGCTGAACAATGACTGCTCCATTCAGTGGAATCACAAATCCCTTGGAAACACATTTGAAAGAAAGAAAAAAAATAAATTTAAATATGTTTTGGCAGAGATGAGCAAAATCTTTAAGAGAAGAGGTCGCTTTTGACCTCTGGTTTTGACAAGTGTCTAACTCAAGAACAAAACTCTGTAATTTGAAGATTGGTTGCTTTCATAATCATTTTTTTTTCCTGTCGCTACATGTTTTTTAAAGTAAAATCACAACCAAAGAAACTGACACTGAACTGCCACACTGGGTCATTTGTAACACCCACTCAACAACCTTTATGGCTGATTGAAGTGGTATAAGTCTTTCTTTAGAACAAGCCAGATTTGTCTTAAAAGAATATTGTTTTATATTTTGTGATCTGCTATGATTGTGTTAACAGCTCAGTAAATTGAACGTTTAGAAGCATTAAGCCAAGCTTGTATTTTCTGCTGCCAAAAGCCATAAATGGCAATCTGATACCCACCACTTGCTGCTATATAAACACTAGGACTCGTCCAGCGTCACAATGGCCACATAGACAGGTTCTGTGAAACTGCAGTACCGCATAGCATAATAAAGAAGCATGTTGTAACAATGTGGTAAAGGTGAAGTGTCAGAATGATTGGGAAATTCTTAAAGAGACAGGGCACTTTCAGCGTGTCTTTTGTGAAATCAAATTTCTCAAAGTTATTTTTGATATATGCAAAATGTTCATAACCATTAGAGTTAATAGTTACTATAAAGTGCTATAAAATGTTGCCATGTTTCTGGAAAATACATAATGGACCCTTTAAACTCTTGCCTTTGGTTTTGGTAAAAATTTTCACAAATTTGTTGTTCAGCTTAAAAAAAATTCAAAATGTAGGTTATTTTTTTATTTTGTCTGTTTTCTTTAAAGACAAATTAACAAAATAACAGTTTTATGAATAATTTTTAGGCACTTTTCCACTAGCAGCCTGTCAACAAGACGTAACGTCTTTCAATCTGTTTTGATGAGTCCGTAAAAAATCCTAATGATAAACCAGTCTGACATGCAGAAAATACTATTTTAGCGTCAACAAAGTGATTCCCCAAGAGCAATTAGGTGACAACTTTGCATATATTACATTATCAACTGAAGGATGATGCATGTCTCACATCACATTCCAGGTCTTGTTTGATTTGGGATCTGCTTCTTAAAGATGATTTTTATGCACTAGGGAGTTTTTTTTAAAACTGTACTTTTACTGTAGACTTTTAAGTCTTCTATTTTATTATTTCAATAATAAAATGTGAGTGCTTTCATGATCAAGTAAACAGTGGACAAAAAAATTACTATCAAAGCAGACCTTGAGAAAGTCTGAAGAACTTTTAATGAATCTTCACTTTAAAAGATAGTCAGAATCGTTTAAATCTTTTTTAAATGGTGTGAATGGAGGCTGGCAGATATTTTTGAAGAAATGGGACTTTACTTCTCTTTTGGTCAAGACTTATTAGCTGAGGGTATTGTCCATATGTTGTTTTTTGTCACTTTGTCAGAAGTGTTAGAGATGCAGGTGGTTTCTTTTTCTCTGTCAGTGTTTCCGTCTCTCTCCATGTCTCCAGCTGTCTCCAGTCTAGCAGCTCTCATTAACTCTCCGTAACTCATTAAGTTGGTTAATTACGGTATCACACAAACACGTGAGCAGGGGCAGCAAGTGTGTTAAAAAAAAAATAAAAAACTCATCCCATCCTTTTCTTTGCCACTTCCTGCTGCATGAGCAACATCTTTTAAAAGAATACACTCAAAGCTGTCCTTTCGTATTTTATTTCTATTTTCATCCAGACCTGAGTGTCCTTTTACAGATAGTGAACGCTTCCCTTGAAACCAACAGTTCTGCTATTCCTCATTGTGACCCTGAGCCCTGCACTTATTCTTCCTGTGTAAGTGCTTTCCAATCAGGCAGTAATTTCCAACATACTCAAGATTTTCTCATCATACATGCTGAGTCATCCTGAGAAAATCATTTTTGTGCCCAGTATGAAGTCTTTGCTGGAATGAAGCATTTCCTGAAGAAAAGTGTCACAGGTGATGCTTTCAGCCATAGTTGTATTCAGATATCTAAAATGACCTACCTGGGAAAAAAGAATGAACAACAAAGTTTAAATGATTCTGACAAGAAAGGATGAGACTATTGAAATGTTATCAAAAGTAGAATATATGTCCAAGGATTTCTGTAGTAGTTTCCTCTTAGCTGTCTCCTGATGATTCAGCCAGGAGCAATTGATTTTTTTTTAAATGAACTTCATAGGTTTAATCCCTTGCATTTTCTTTTCTGAAGTTGATTGAGGGCCTGTTGTTTCTTCTGCACATCGTGTCTCAGCAGTCTCTTTGTCGCTGAAATGACTGACATGCAATTAAAACAGAAAGAAAAGATCAAATTGTTGCATGCCACTGGAGGAATGTAGATCAAAGTTGGATTTATCATAGAGGTCATTGGACCAAACAGACCTTGTTAAAAGATACCGCAGATCTGTTCCCAAATGTACAAATTTGTACTATCTGTACAAATTAATCCACAATAATAAATTCAGAATTCAATGGACATTGGGCTATTAGGGATAAGCTTATAAGTTTGAAAAATAATGCTTTAATATTTCAATTTTTTTTATATTAGAAAAAATACTTGGGTTTCTTTAGCTGAGTACTGGATCTCCATTTTCACCTATTGCTGTGCAATTACTCAGCTGTAGGAGACGGCGCCACAGGGGATTCCCCTTAATCTGCTTCAGATTTAATTAGGATTTTATTTTTGACATTTTGAATTCAACATGTCTGTAATTAACACCACCCTGGAATAAACATATTGAAATTCTGAACATAATCATCAGGCAAACTACAGTCTCCAACCTCGGTGACTATATGCATATATCGACAAGTGCACATTAAAAATGTCCCAAAATGCAAAAGTTGGAAGGTTCATGAACACCTTTCTGAATATTTTGACATTTATTCACTGGAAATATGTGAGCTGGTGATATATATTATACTTCTTAGCTCAGGAAACATCTAATTTTAAAATTATTCTCAGCAAAACCAACATATATAACCTACACTGATTATTCTCATGGATATTAAATGCAACAAAGAAGAAGTTAACATCAGTCTCATTGTGAGGAAAGAGTTGAGCTAAAAAGCAAAGTTCTCTACAAAATGACATTCTGTTCTTACAATCTTTGATAGTTCTTGCAGCTTATTATTTACTCTTATTCTGGACAGAACATTCTGTTTGTATTGTGTTTGAGAAGTATAATGTAATGACGACACTGTCAAATTCTGCAGTAGGAAGGATCCATGCAGACTTCCTCTGAGTTCTTCTGGACTCAAGTTCTCATGTGGTAGGAAATGTCGAGGCCCAAAAGAATGTTGGTATTTTTTTCTTTTTTAAGGGAATAGTAAAGAGCTCAGTCATGCAGTGGGAGCTTGGAGTAAATGCTCCTCCACATCAAAAGGAGAGTCAGTTGAGGTAGTTCTGGCATTTGATCATGAGGTCAGATTCCTCCTGTGTGCCTGACCTTTGAGGTTTTCAAGGCTCTTCCTATTGAGAAAAGACCTCAGGGCTGACCCAGAATACACAGGGAGGACTAAATAGCCCTTCTGGTCTGAGAATGTATTTCTGTCCCTTAAAAAATGAAGTTGGCGTGTTTCAGTGGGGGGAGGTTTGAGAAATTGAAGAATAAATGTATAGATGGATGTTCATAAGGAACATGCAGTATAGGTAGAAAAAAATAAAAAAATAAAAAAATTCCCTTCTCACCCACCGCTTATCGTCGGTTCTTATCGTCTGAGCTCGGGTCCTCTACCAGAGGCCTGGGAGCTTGAGGGTTCTGCGCAGTATCTTGGCTGAGCCAAGGACTGCACATTTCTGGACTGAGATGTCTGATGTTGTTCCTGGGATCTGTTGTAGCCACTGCTCCAGTTTGGGGGTTACTGCCCCGAGGGCCCCGATGACCACAGGCACCACTGTGGTCTTCACCTTCCAGGCCCTCTCCAGTTCTTCCTGAGGCCCTGGTTCTCCAGTTTCTCGTGCTCCTTTTTCCTGATGTTGCAATCACTTGGTATTGCTACATCTACCACAACGGCTTTTCTCTGATGTTTATCCACTACGACAATGTCTGGTTGGTTCGCCATTACCATTCTGTCTGTCTGGATCTGGAAGTCCCACAGGATCTTAGCTCTGGCGTTCTCCACCACCTTTGGGGTTTTCCCCACTTTGATCTCGGGGTTTCCAGTCCATATTCTGCACAGATGTTTCTGTACACTATATCTGTCACTTGGTTATGTTGTTCCATGTACGCTTTCCCTGCCAGTATCTTGCACCCTGCTGTGATGTGCTGGACTGTCTCAGGGGCCTCCTTGCACAACCTACACCTTGGGTCTTGTCTGGTGTGGTAGATCTGGGCCTCTATTGCTCTGGTGTTTAGGGCCTGTTCCTGGGCGGCCAGGATGAGGGCCTCTGTGCTGTCCTTGAGTCCAGCTTTTTCCAGCCATTGGTAGGATTTACTGATATCAGCCACTTGGTTTATTTGCTGGTGGTACATCCCATGTAGGGGCTTGTCCTCCCATGATGGTATCTCTGGCACCTCAACCTCCGTTCCCTGTTGTCTGAGACATTCACTGAGCACATTGTCTGTTGAGGCTTTGTCCCTCAGACAATGTGCTGAGGGACAGTGGTTCTCACACTCACTAGTCCTCTGCCTCCTTCCTTGTGGCTCATGTACAGTCTCAGGGTGCTGGATTTGGGATGGATCCCTCCATGCATTGTTAGTAGCTTTCTAGTCTTAATATCTGTGGCTTTTTATCTCCTCCTTTGGCCAGCTAATTATTCCAGCAGGGTATCTGATTACTGGCAAGGCATAGTTGTTTTATCACACAGATCTTGTTCTTGCCATTGAGCTGGCTTCTCAGGACTTGCCTTATTCGTTGGAGGTATTTAGCTGTGGCTCCTTTCCTTGTGACCTCATCAAGGTTGCCATTTGCTTGTGGTGAAATATATATATGTATATATACTTTCAATCAACAATAAGACTGTAAAGTAAACTTGTAAGTATTCAAGAAAGTACAGAAAAAAAAGTGTCAGTGTCAGTAGAAAGCAAAGAAAAGTTTCAGGACCTAAGAGGATGGTTAAAGGCATCTCAGTGGTGTTGGCTCAGACACTGCAAAGCCTTTATTGTTTCACAGATTCTTTGTGTCAAGCAGAATAATGAACTCCTGGTCAGCATCCAGCTTCTCTAACCTTCACAGTCCCTCAGTTGCCGTCATGCAACTCCTGTTCGCTGCCAGGTGAAACATGACAGAGCTGCGAATTCCCTCATTTCTTCACCTGCTGACCACCTGAGCCACAATTATTGCTGCTGGAGGAGCTTCGAAGAGGAACACAGCTCGGATTTATGTTGAAAGAAAGAAGAAAAATTCAAATCCAGGACTTAGTCCTTTAACAAAGACTATAATGTGAAATTCTGACAAAAAACATAAAGTAGCAAATTGTTTTGTCAATTGATGAGTTTAGTGATGTTAAATGTTTCTGCATTCAGATCTAATAACAAAAATTATATAGAAAGCAGTATTTAGTCAAACAATATTTCAACTTCATAACAACTTTACTAAAATATTGAGAGTGTTATTCTATAAACTGTATGTTCGTTTTAGCATCATTTATAGTTTTAAGGCTTCATCTGTGAGTGAAAATGTTTTGATTCGTCAGTTTCACATGAACGATTTCATCAAAAGTCTTGTAAATATAATTTCAGGTGTTGTGTTTTCTAGGTTGTATCCAACAGGGCTGACATGGCCATAGGTTCCCTCACCATTAATGAGGAGAGGTCAGAGGTCGTGGAGTTCTCTGTTCCTTTTGTGGAAACCGGCATCAGTGTCATGGTTTCTCGCAGTAACGGCACCGTGTCCCCTTCTGCTTTTCTTGGTAAGCTGCTGTTTATATTTACCTTCAGGTATCTGGATAAGTCAAACTTAATTATTTTAAATTTAATTTTATTAGAAGCGTATTAGTAATGCTTTTGAAAATATAAAAATTTGCAAAAATCAGTTATCTGAATTCTTAAGACCTGAGTAATGACAGAAACATTTGATTGAAGAGCAACAATTCTACAGTATGAAACCAAGCACTATTTCTCTTAAAAAAATAGAATTTAAACTTAACTCAACCTTGTGATACTTGTAGAAAACTGACACTCACCTCACCTCTTTGCTTCACAGTTCCCACCTCATACTGTTCCAGCATTCTCATATGCTGGGAGCCCACATCACAGTTTGTACTGTCCTTGTCTCATCAATTCAAGAACAGTCAAATATTAGATGATAAGCTAGTAAAAACAAACAAACAAACAAACAAACAAACAAAAGAAAACGTCTAATAGAATCACCTCACTTGTAAACATTCCAGGGCACCTATCAATACTTTTCAAACTTTTTTGTGTTTTTCACAATGTTCATATTTATTTCAAGTCCAAACTTTGAAAAATTGACAATGCTACCAAAAGTTATCGAAGACTGACGTTACCACAGAACACTGAGGCATAAAACAAAGACAGCCTCAAAACACAGCACAGTGCCCGACTCAAACATAAGCACAGGTATATGTGGGAATTTCTTCAACCAGGAAGAGGAAGTCAGAAGATATTTGCTCTGCAAGGCAATGGTTTTTGGAGACCTAAGACAATGGCACCTTACCCAGGAATTTTGAAAAACTCTGGGAAAATCAAGTTTTCCTGTGATTTGCCATAGTAGGAAAAAAGACAAAGTCTCAGTCAACTTGACCACATCAAGTTGAAAAAATCCTACATGCAACATTAAGACTCCAGTGGCCAACTTTATTTAAAGTTACATGTAGGAAGATATTTTTTATCTGGTCTTTATTCTATGTGTAGCTCACCTTCAAAACCAGATTTTCTGTTCCTCTTCTTCTCTCATTTACTTTTCAGTTCCTTTGTCTTTTTCTTGAAGTATTTTACTGATATAGATAAGGCTGGCAGTAAATTAGATTTCCATTTAAATATGTTCTTTTACATAGACTGAAACAGTTCTCACATGTGGGTTCTAATCATGCATTAGACTTTGGTCTAGAAAAAAAAACTCTTTGAAACCTTCATAAAAACAGCAATCCTGGAATAAAATCAGTAGAGGCAGTTTGCAGCTCAACGGGAATCCGATGTTGTGATGCAGTTGAGCTGTTGGAAAGGGCTTATTTAGAGAATCTTTGGGAGAATTGACCCGCTATTATTATTGCTCCCTGGAAAAACATACTCTTTATTTTCCTCTTCCACTTTAAAGTCCACTTACACATGAGGGATTTTTTTTAAACGGCCAAAAAGAAAAACAAAAAGTCAGAAGAGAAGATGTTAATACATGGCTCAGTGCCATATTAGGGGTGTTAGCTGTGTAGAACTTAAATGGATCTATCCGGGAAGAAGGAGCAGAGCACACATTAAGATGCTTAAAGAAATAAAAGTTACAAAAGCAATCAATTTAAAAATCCAAAAACCTGAGCTGAAAATTATGAGCCTTATATAAAACCAAACTAGTAACATAGAGAAACTCGAGGATCATTTATGAATTTGTTCAAATATTTGTTCAAATATGTATTATCCAATATCAGGAATATACTTCACATGGAGCAATATTAACACAGGCTACATTCAGAAAATAAGTTACTATGCACTGAAAATATTTTCATTTACTTAGTTATTTATTTATTTGCTTTTCTTTAATGGAGGATGTACATCTATGAAGGAGGTAAACCAATGAAGATATTTTGCATAATACTGCACACTGCTCTCTGTAATTCATCAGATATGTAAAATGCCTTCACTTCTGACATACCTTTTGTCTCCCACTTGAGGTCTCTCATTTATGCTTTTGTTTCTCAAGCCAAAGCTGATGGATGTAGACTTAAAATGTGATTTTTTTGCAGCACTCAAAATGAGCTGGCCACTTCAGAGATAACACCTGCTGGGTAACAAATCTTCTTAGATTTATTTCATACATATCCACACATAAAGAGATGGTAAGATGATGGAGAGAGAAAAATGTGGGCAGAGAGAAAGATGAAGAAAGTGTTAAATAGAAAGAAATGAGGCTTCACACACAGAAAGAGGGAGTCTTGGTACAATATAGATGTAGCACAAAAGAGTAAGTGAGCATGGTTTAATGCCTTTGTTAGAGGGCTTGAGCCGTTCTAAATGCTCTCAGATGCTTTAATGTACAAAGTGACTGGTTTCTGCTCATATATGTCTGTGAGCTATGGATGGGCCAGATGAGACTGCCCTGTAGCAAAAACGAGTCGTTAACACAGTTCGGTGTCTCAGGCGATTACTTTCTAAGTCTTCCATTTGTGCTTGTGTGAATTCGGTGCACATTTTGCTGCAGTAAGCAGTGCACATGGCTTTGAGTTGTAAAACAATGTCAGACAGATCTGTACAGCATTGCATATTTAACATAATTAGGGTAAAACTGCATATTCTAATCTCATTAAGTTATAGCCTACTGCATGGTAATGTGATGATGTGATTTTCTTAGCAAGTAAGCTAATAAGGAGGCTGCTGTTGCATTTTCTTTATGTTGGAAAGAACTCCTTCAAAATGCAAAAATTAGCAGCGAAAGTCAATAAAACTTTCAGCTTTTTTGTCTTTATAATAACATTTACATCTCAAAGGTCATGGATCTGACCAAAAATCAGGTTTTCTCCTCATAAACCTGATCTTTTCCTTTACGCCTTAAGTTGCCTTAATTCATTCGATCACAGCTGCAGTAGTACATCAATCCGTCTGTCAGTGGAGATTTAAAAGACAATCTGAAACATGTCACGCTTGGACAGAGGTCCAGCGTTCCCAAGGCTTTTTTATCTCATTTTCTCCAGGCTGCAGGACAGGCAGTGATGCCACACCACGCTCTAGCCTCATTGGTCCGGTGGCACTTTTGAATGCAATTTGTGACTGCATGCAGTGCGATCAGAAAATGTCAGGTATGCAAGGCCAGAGAGAATCAAGAGCAAAAGGAAATGCAAGAAGTCAATAGCAAAATATTTAATCCAGAGAGAAGAAACAAAGCGCAGTAAGAACGAGTTGACTTCAGCAAATTGAGTGGGAGGTAGAGAATGACTCATAAAACGCAAAAAGGCATTTAGAAGTTTAGTGAGTAAAGTGATGTCTGTTAAATACAGCTTAATCATCTCCTTGTTAGCATTTAAATTGATAAAAAATGTAAGCAAGAGCAATTTTCTTGGACTTTATGTAAACAGAAAATATATATATTTTTTAAAATCTTTTCTTCGTCCCATTTTTATTTAGAAATTATGTGTTAGTTTTGCTGGATTTTTGCTCATTCTGACATCAAATATACCAGATATTTTAAAGTGTCAGTAACAACAGACCTACTTTTGTTTTATGACAAATGTACATAATGTTGTTCCAGTTAATCCTTAAAAAAGTTCAAAATTTAGTTCAGTTGAAAATTATCTCATTCTTGTTCGAAAATATTTTCACATATTTTAATGGCTTTGTCATCAGAAACCAGGATGAGTCAGAAATGTTGATTAAAATCCATCCATTTATCTGTTGCTGAAGTCACTCTTAATCCTCTTATCACTCTCCTGTCAGCTCAGATGTTTGTTTTGTTCTTTAAACTGTTAATGCACAGACCGATACACACAGCAATATGGAAAAACTGCCAGATACTGAAAGTTGAAATAATCATGGAGAAAAAAAATATCTAATGACTTTAAATATATTTCAAAGCATAACGAAGAAATTTGTTTTTGGCATGTCCTTTTTCTTCACAATGTTCCACTTTATAAAAGTTAGATTAGCTCCTGAGTTCAAATTATTCTCATCATTCTTTTTAAAAAATAGCTCATTCTAGTTGGTATTGCTACTCCCAGGGCTCAGAGAATGACAGTAATCTTTCTAAATCCCTCAATACCGGCTGTGAACATGCTGGCACGCAAAACAAATACATGATGCCGTTGCTTTTTTAGCACCTGCTGCCAACCAGTCCTTGAGGTAGGACAAATAAACCTCATTAACCTCAATAGTAGCCATGTGTGTTTCAGTGGCACTGAAGCCACACTGGCTGTATATCAACCCGGTGTAGACATTACAAAGAGCAGCTTTGAAACATTAAATTTATCTTCTGTTGATGAGCTTCGCTTCAATATGGATATAAATTTAGATCATTGTTGTCCCAAAAGCATAAATATCTGCTGGAGACAAAACTGTGGGCCTCTTAGGAAGAGTGGGACCAAAAACAATAAAGCCACTCACATATTAACTCAAGGCTGACATTGCTTTCAAAACAATGCTGCTTCTGTTTACTCTTCTCACCCGCCAGACTATAAGAAAATAAATATCATGCAACCTTCAGGATTTTCAGGCCACAAAGTAATTATTTACAACCTTCCTTTGTCGAAGCAATTTTGATTTATCCACAGGTGTACAGCACACGTGACTGGACTGAAAGCTGCAAATTGTGAAGCAAAACCATAAACAGGTTCCTCTTGTTGCGAGCTAATGAAACAGAGCTCATGTGCATACACTAACAAGTCAGTAACTTTCAGTGCTTAGGATTTCACTTTATTAGTACAACCTCCAGAAACATTAAAATTAAATATTTGTATGTGTTAAGGAGCACTAATTCAAAGCAAATAGGCTCTTTCAGGTTTTTCTTTTTTTTCTGACAATGCATTTTCCTACAATCCAATAAAATAATTTCTTATTTATTATATAATAAAGCGTGTGCAGCAAAGTGATGATGATTTGTACTCTTGCGGTATGAAAAATCTTGGTAGAACTAAAAAGCAGTACCTCAGTCCTCATGTCGCGCATTTCGGCAGCTCCTGCAGCCTTAAAAGCATATTAGCCCTGCCAGGCAGCGAGTTTAATGGATAAATCCTGAGAGTCTCCACCTGCTCCCTCACTGTACATCTCTGCAGGGAAGCCTCGGCTAAAAGCCTGGTATGTAAACAGAACTTGTAGCTCTTTGGTATGCCTGCACAATGTCGACTTTGATTTAGTATCTTCACCTGGAAGGAGAGAAAAGCAGCTCTGCTTCTCTCTCCAGTGTAGTTTGATTAGCAGCACACCTGCTAGAACTGTTGATCTCAGTCTTTGTTGCACAGTGAAAAATCTCAGGTGGATCTTTTTGTTTCCTCTGCCAAAAGTTTCGCTGTTCCTCGCTTTTTTTATGTTATAGTTTTGTTGGGTTTTTTTACATTTCTTTCTACAGAGATAAACAATAAACATATTCTTGACATAAACACAACCTTATGTATTCCTTATGTAAATATGTTCATCAAAAAAGTAGCATTGATGTAATGTGACAAGGATGCAATTGTTTATTCACCATGAAAGTCTTCTCATATTTATATGAGCCAATGTTCCCTGTATTTTCTCATACTGCAAGCTGTATGGCTCCCGAACTTTGTGTTGGTCCTTGTAAAATTATGAACACCTACAGTCATGCATTTAATAAAAAGTAAGTAAGAATTTCTCCAAGGTAAAGGATTCCTCAAGTCCAAGTTCATATTTTAGGCTAATACATATAATATGGTTACTGCATAAAGCTGGCTTCTTGTTGAGAGATGGTTAAAAAATTTACAATAATCAGGAAGGACTAAACACTTAAAAAAATTCAGTTTTACTTGGAAAAAAAAAACTGCTCTTGCACCTATTGGAAGCCAATACTCTTAACAGTAGAACATGAAATTTCTGTTTCTTTGACCTAAAGCCCTTGATGTTCACAGAATGACATTGAAAATGGATATTTTACCAAAAATACATAAAATCTGGAAGTTTAAAAGTCATTAGGTTGTTCATTATAGACTCAAACTACATGTGCAAGGCTAAAAAGGCAATAGAAAAGACATATCTTTGCTCTTGTTTTCTGATCAACTCTTCTCCAAATTCAATATTTTTTTGTGTACAAGATCCAATACAATTACAAAATGTTAAGCTGACTTAAAAAATTAGCATTTGACTGCCGATAGATAGAAACAGTCCCCTCACAGATAAAAACAATACTGCTAAAGTCAAAGCCAGTAGAAGGCCCAGTTTTCTTTTTTTTAACTTTTCTTGTCCATCATCCATTCAAGTTCATGTTTGATATTGTTGGGCTTTGTGGATGACGGATACCTTTCTATAACTTTATTTGATGTTTGCATGGACGTCTGTGTGATTCTTTGTGCGTTGCAGAGCCCTACAGCCCGGCGGTGTGGGTGATGATGTTTGTGATGTGCCTGTCAGTGGTGGCTGTCACCGTCTTCATCTTTGAGTTCTTCAGCCCCGTGGGATACAACCGTAGCCTGCAGAGCGCCAAGAGTAAGAGATGGAGTCCCTCCAGCTTTAGTATGCCAATCAAGCCACCGCCACTGCTCATGTCACGCCATTATTACCAACTTGTCAATTTGTCAGTTAAGCAAGCGAGGGGGGCTGATTTGAGGAGGACGTTTGCACAAATTATGCAAATTGTCCTATTTTTCCTAATTTTATTTATTTATTTATTTGACTGCACAAGTCAAAGCAATCACTCCATAGTATGCCTAATTTATATGTTATGAAGCAAACACTGACAATGCAGTGATGGATGATTTTGACATTTTTCTACCACTTATCAGTTTATGATTTAGTCCAAAATTTTGCTGACTGCCAATCTGTCCAACCATATTCATTTTACTTGATTATCCAGAGATGTTTCTCATTATATTTGATTTTATTGACACACGTTGTAAAAAACTATTTCAGCAGGACAGGCCAAAGGCAGTTTAGATTCTCCTTCTGTTTTAAACCTTCTTGAGTTTAACCTTCAGGAGCAAGCATTTTATTTCACATTTAAGATTTGTTTTTGATCTTAATTTGCCCTTCCAGAACTATTTTACTGTAAATGTAGAAAGGACAAAATTTTCAACTTATCATCTTTGGAGAGCCACATATCCTTTAGATATTACTGTTAAACTTTTGAATTAGTTAGGTCCAATATACTGTCTGTTCAGATTAGTAAAACATCCTGGCCAGAACCAATATTGAAAAACGACATATTTAAATTTTCGAGTCCAACAGCCAGTCTAAAAATTTCTTTTTTCTGTTGTTTGGCAAAAGTTCCTTGACTACTTTATTACAACTGGCCCAAAGAAGAGCACGCTATCACAAAACCTTCAAATACGTGTTTGGAGAATTCTCATTGTAACAGGTCCAGATGTGTTTCCAGTGGACATTATTTTAGAACGTTGAATAATAAATGCAAACCAAACACACCAGCACCATCAGAGGATACAGAGTGTTCATGTATGTTTTTTTTTTCTTTGAACACTTTAGCATCCTATTTATTATTCCTTTTTTGTTAGCAAAACTGATAAGACATAATAATATTTTCATATGGAGAATTGTCAGAAAATCAATCTGTATTAAATAATTAGGGGTTGAGTCCAATTTTTCAGTAGCTAAAAGTTGTATCCTTCTATATTTTTACCTATTTCCTTTATTCATTTCTTTAGTCCTTCCTTCTTCCTGCTAGATTCTGTTTTTGTGGATTTTTGGGGGAAGGTCAGTTTCTCATCTCTAAAAACATCACCATTAAAGTCAAACATCACCATTAAAGTCAAACTGAAGATTAGGATTTAACATTTAGAAAGCGAAGGTTTGAGGCCCATGACAAGTTGCTTTTCAAGAAGAATGAAACTGAAAAACATGCATAAACCCTTTATTGTTGGTAACCACACCTAAAGTTCTATATCCTGCTCTTAAGCTGTCACATTCTTTCATAATCTAAGTAGAGAATCTATGTCAGGAAATGGTGATACATTTTGGATTGACATTTACTATTTTCCAATTTGTAGCACAAGATATTTACTGCATCCCTAAAATGTTGCTTCATGAAAACTGCTTTATTTTTAATTTTCTAACTCATTTCCAGAAACTGGGGGATCCAAGTTCACCATTGGCAAATCTGTTTGGCTGCTCTGGGCGCTGGTTTTTAACAACTCTGTTCCTGTAGAAAATCCCAGAGGAACAACCAGCAAGATCATGGTGAATATTCTGCTCACTAAATTCACTTTTAGTTTCACTGATTTGCTTTCTGCTTGTGTCCTTTTTCTTATTTTTGTATAGCTGTCTTACTGACTTTTTTCTTCAGTTTATTTGTGAAACTTACATTTAATATCTGTCCTTATAACAGAATAAATGAGCCAAAAGCTAACAACCTCAGCCTACAGTGACAGTCTCAAAATGTATTTTTCTTTCACTCGTAATGAAGTGCTTTTGACAACAAACCTGATCATTTCAAAAGCTCATTAGCTGCTCAATTAGCTTTACAAACGGGGTCAATGAGGTAAAGTGAAGATGGTTGTTTTAGTTCGGTCTTTGCAAATGTATTTTCTGCTTCTAAACAAAATCTGTCTTTTTAGTGAGATAGCAAAATGGGAACATTTTATTTTTTCCTACATATCCCTTTATTATTCATTTTTCCTGCATTGACATTTCCGTATTTTATTTTGTAGAAATAATTCTTTCTACAAAAACATGTTCTTGCAGATTGATAGAGTCAGAGGCCTCACCAGCTCACATGGAAGATTTTTAAAGGACTTCAAATAATTACTTATGTTGTCATTATCAGACATTAATATTTCTGGTGACAATAGGCATGTCTCTAAATATTAAAAACATTTTTTCCTTTTTATTTCTTAACAGCAATATCTGTCAATTCAAATATACCAAATATCTGAGAAATTATCCTAAATATCACTAATATTTAAAAAATGTAGTTTACATAAACAGAAACATAAAACCCCATTCATCATTAACTGCAAGAATGTATATGTTGCATAGATCAGTCCATATTTCCTTTCCTTTCTAGCTAAAAGTCAGACTTGAACAATGAAGGGCAGTTAAAATGTCACATCTAAATTGCTACTTTTTATGCCGAGTGCTTTGAAACATCAGGGGTTCTGTTATTGGCAAGACTATTATTTAGGACAGCTTCTGTTATGGAGTTTTGGAAATAGCAATCATCTTAAGAAAAGCTAGTTCCAGAGTGATTAAACTAAATTTAATTACATGATCTGGACTATTACTGGTATATATTTCTGTTACAGAAAGCGGAAGATTTTCATATAGCTACAGAAATGTTTACAACTAATTGGTTAATTTCCACTGCAGATTTTCTGATTTTCTTCAAAAAATAAATAAAAAAGAAGCTTGTTTTGTTAACATAATTAATTCTGCCCATTATTATTGAAAAGGAATATGTATTATCATTCTGGAAGTCAGTGCCCTGTTAAATAGCAGTTGGACATCAACACATTTTGTGCTGTTTGATTAAACTTTTTTCTATATATATTCTGAGAGATCTAATGAAATGGTCCATAAATATCAATATACTTTGTCTTCTACTTTCTCAGCATTTCATCTTAGTTTGGTAAAATTTAGAAGTGGTGAAATTTTGACAACAATTCAGGAATTACTTTCTTTCTTACTTAAAAATCAGTTTCTCAAATATATTTACGGGATTTTATGGCCAAAGCATTCATGTTTATAAATTTAGTGATTGTTTAAAGACTGTTTCTGAAACTAAATCATTAATTAAAAACTGTTCTGGTTGAATACCATTAGTCATTAGGGTTTGTTTTTCTTGATAAGAGTTTCAAGGTTTGCTTGAGGATATTAATGCTGTGAAAAAGAAAATTACAATGTCTTTTGACATTGTAATCTTGCTGCTATATAGTTTTATACAACAAGTTTAAAGAACACATATCAAGGTTTCAGTGACATTTTAGGAGGTTAAACATGACTCACTGACAAATGATACTCTGTTCAACAGAGACCTTCAGCTGCAGCTTCAGAAATTGAAATTGTCACCAGAACCTTAAAATACTTTTTACTCCTGTCATGCTTATGGCTCGTTGATCATCTCCATGTCCAGGTGCTGGTTTGGGCCTTCTTTGCTGTCATTTTCTTGGCCTCCTACACTGCCAACCTGGCTGCCTTCATGATCCAGGAGGAGTACATTGACACGGTGTCAGGGCTGTCTGATAAGAAGGTGAGATCTTGAGTAGACAAGGCAGATACGAATTTCAAACTACAAGTTTTATGTGGATTTGCATAAGTCAAAAATGAAAAAAAAAACATTCAAGATAAACATAAAGCAAAACTGTCAACACAAAATTGTTTGCTATTTTTGTTTTCTTTCTCCTGGATGCATGCAGGAGAGCAAAGTGAAGGCTTTCCTCAGTCTGATTCCTGTCAATAGAACCGCAAACCGTATCCTGCTGCTTCGACACTTTAAAACCTCACGTGTTTTATTAAAGTCTCCTCCATCTCTTTAGAAAACTCCACCCTCCAGGCCTCACTTTGAAAGTTCAGACTTTGAATCTCCTCACCACTTCATGTTGCAACGGAGATCAATTCATCTCCCTAATTTTTTTCCAGAGACTCGCATTTATTTCCCACTTTCTGTCTGTCACGTTAATCTCTGCCCATCTGTTCCTCTCATGCAGTTTCAGCATCCGACAGAGCAGTACCCACCACTGCGCTTTGGTACAGTGCCGAATGGGAGCACTGAGGAGAACATACGCTCCAACTATCCCAACATGCACCAGTATATGATCCGCAACAACCAGAAAGGTGTGGAGGAGGCCATTGACAACCTAAAGTCAGGGTAAGAAAGAGAGAAGATAATGAAGGTGGTGGAGGGAGAAATTGCTGCAGGGCTGCTTAAATATGCATGTAGTCATCTTTGATCAATTAGAGTGTTATTGACTTAGTTTAATTCAGTAACTTAATACACTTAAGTTACTCATAGAACAGTGTTAAAGTTTCTTCTGTTTTTTTTATGATGATTCCACTCACAGCTAATGAAAACAACATAGTTAGGTATTACATCAGGCCACTAAAAACATTTCTCTGACAGAAATGTGAGCTTAATAAAAATATACATCACTCTTTATGACAACATTGGGAACAAATCTCTCTAGGGGCATTTCAAGTAATTTACTATGTGGATTCCAAGCTATCTATGGACGCCAAGACAAAAATAAAGAGAAAAGAGAAAAAAGACATTTGAATATTGGCACTCTGGAAGCAAGATCAGTGAGAAAACAGCCTTCAGAGTTTCAGAACAAAAATGCCTCCAATCCATATCAGCTGTCAGAGGGCATTAACAAAGGCTGTTCATTTACATAGCTTTAGAATTACCACATTCTAATGCCAGTCAATGATGGCTACAGCATTGACTGGCTACAGGTATAACTGAGAAGGTGTCCAGACAATAGTGAGCTTTTGACTTTCCTACCTATTTTTTCATAAATATCTTTGTAAAAGTTGCATTTGTTCCATTTTTCAATTAGCCTGCCCTTCTGTGTTGTTGACCTTTATCTGTCATTGAATTATCTGTGAACTCTGTACAGTTAGTGGAACTGTACAAATTGAGTTACCAGTAAGGTCAGGATGCTGCTGTGATGCCAAGAAAAGATCTCACAGCTTGCGCCTTTTTAGCATATGGTATTACACATTTACCAGCAACTCAAATAAACACTCAATTAGATGTGGGAATCCACATCTTTTATGTATAAATATCCATCACACATTTATTTGAAATAAAGTTAATTCTGCTAAATAATGTAAAGCTAAATTACATACATTCTGAAACAACTTTCAGTTTTAGTCAAGCTCTCACTGACTGAGAGGTTTATCTAATTAATTTGCAAACATCCACTCAGTGATGCCCATTCTTTACTCTGAGGTGAAGGCTAATGTGGTTGGAAGATAATTAATGACCAAACAAAATGGCCTTATTTCTCTAGGGGTTTAATCCAACACCATGTAAAACACAAAACACACTTTTTCAATGTAACACAGTCAAACTCTACAGAGGAGCCCGCGGCTGGATCCAAAAGATGCATTTTGTAAAATATTGTTTGATTTATTTTAGCCTGTAAGCTTTCAGTACCAAACAGTTAAAGTTTTAACACTACCACTTGCAACATTAATAATGTTGTACTTCTTCTTAATTGCTATTCTGTTCTGCAGGATATATTATGCTGTTACTGTGTTCTGATTGGATGTCCTTTACAATGTTTTAATTGTACATTTTGTGACTCTATAGACAGACAGTGATGCTCTTTATTGAATTCGTGTCTCATTTTCTTTTCTTTCAAAAGAAAACTTATAGCATCCACAAGACAATATATAAAGCAGATTTTTAAATTGTTTTGGTGTTAAATATCAAGTGTTATAGCTGCATATATACTTTTTTATAATAGTACTTGCCCTTGATTTACAGTTTTCTAAAATTATTTAAATCCTGTAAATGTTTCTATTGTCACATTTGAACTCCAAACTTTAATGGACTTTACTTTAGTCTGTATGAGAGAACAGCACAAAGTAGAGCACATAACTGGATTCTTGCATTTCTTTTGCAGGCCCATAAAATTAACACTTTATGAAACCACCTTTTACTGCAGTATGAACCATCTTTTCACATGTACAGAGGGATGTTTTCCCCCATTCTTTGACTCAGAATAACTCAAGCTCTGTAAAATTGGATAGAGAGCTTCTGTGAAAATCAATTTTGAAGTTTTGCAACAGATTTTCCCTTGGAACTTGGTCTGGACTTTGCCCAGGCCTTTCTAACACACGGATATACATAAGACTGAAGCAGTCCATTGTATTTTATGTTTTTTGGTTTATGTTGTCATCCTGCTGCAAGTTGAAACTCTGCCCTTGTCTGGAGTCTTTTGTAACATTTAAAAATCTCTCTTTAACACAGCGTGACCCCGCCACCTCAATCTTTAAATGGCACAAAAGGAATATTCAGGGTGATGTACACGTTTAGTTTTCTACCATACATACCATTTTTTCTTTCATAGGCCAAACAATCTAGCTTTCATTTGATCCGACCAGAGAACATTCTTTTCACATATTTGCAGCAAACTGAAGAAATGGCATCTTTAAAAAATGCATTAATTTTTCTCAGTTTCCTGTAAAGGCTAAATCTGTCCAGTGGATGGATAATAGTTGTCCTGTTCATAAATTCTATCACCTGAATTGTGGAATTGTGGATACAAAACCCCCAGAGTCATGGGCCTGTTTGATTATTTACCAAGTTACCTGGGGGGGACAGATTATTTAAATGGTCATTCTTTTGAAGATTTACAGTTGTTCCATAATATTTTTATTCTCAAAAAAATGACTTGAACAGTCCTTCATAAAATGTTGAACTGTGAAAGGTTGTTTTATAACCCATTCAAAAATCTATCCCTGAAATGTCTGGTATGTTCAGTAGTTTACATAAACTACAATAAGCCATGGATGCCTTCACACAACAGTTGGGTTTGTCCTGATAAGACATCAATCACAGATAAACTACATTTACTGATTAAGTGACTTCCTAAGAAACGTGTTCCCTTGGATTTTATTTTGAAGTGTGAAAGTAAAGGTAGTTGAATAAAAGTATACATGATTTTTAAACAATGTATATGGTCCTTTGTGTTGGACACTTACATAAACTCATTAAATTATTAAAGTTTGTGATTTGATGAGACAAGACATGAAAAGTGTGAGAAACCAAACCTCTAAACTCTTTATTTTTTGACAAATTTTATCCTTTATTTGTGGCAGTTGTTTCATCCACACTCGGCTCAGTTACACAATCCTCTTGTGAAACTCTGTGCGCATTGATCTGTGCTACCTCAGAAGCTTCAGCTAACTGTTGTAACCTCTGAGGTCCCATCAGGATCATTGTTGCTGCATGAAGGAGGAGGAAAGAGAGGCAAACAAACAGGCAGAGAAAATGAACAGCTTGTTAATAATACATACCAGCCACAACTGCAGTGCGGTGGGAAAATCATGACCACCAAGCTCCTTACAGTAAAATATACATTGCGCAGTTAATTCTGTTCAAGGAGTGCGGGGGTTAAGCAGATGAGACACGACTGAGCAAGTTTTAGTATGCTCCATGATGATACATTCCTTTTATCATATCTGCTCATCATCCTTGTGCCTCCTACACCAGTAACTACCTCTCCTTATCTATCTCTTCATCTCACTCCCTCTCTGTTTATCTCACTCTGCTTATCTCCCTGGATTCATCCCAACTTGATATTGTTTACAAAGGAAACATAAGTTCATCCCTTCAAAGCCAGATGTCATGAAGATTCATGGAATTTCTGACAAACATTGCATTTCCATGTTTCCCCTCTCACATTTTCCTTACAATCATTTATTCTGCTTTGTGTTTCCCTCCTCCTTCCTAACATCTCCTCGTCATCCCTCTTTCCTCTGCTTCCTCTCTCCTTTGTAGACCTAACCTCCTCACCTATTCCCAGTTTTCCTTCCTGCAGTGCAGTCTGCTTCTATGATGGGCCTGGTTGTAGCATGCTGCTTTCTCAGTGTGAATATAAATGAATGGGAAGTGGAAGAGCAGGTGTACTGACAAATTTATCATCATATCCTCAGATATGCATCATCAGTCTGAGCTGATCTGTTAAATCTATTCTATTATTTCATTATGTGTGGTTTTAATTCACTTTTTATCTCCATTCATTTTTCACATCCTGCCTAATTTGAAATTCCTGTGAAGCAGTTCTATGTTATGGTTTTTATTAAGGCTGTGAGTCTTGCTTGACCTCACATTTAAAGTTGATTAAAAGTGTTTGGTAAACATTTTAGTACGTTGTGTGTGCTATGTGTGTATAGTGCACAGGAGAGGGAGTCTTTATTTGGCTTATTTCTTTTTATTTTACGATATTCAGATGTAATATAGTAAATCAAGGGAATTATTGTTTGTAATCCTCACTGGAACTGCACACTTTCAGTCCTTTTATGGTGATCCATCAACTTTGAGATTCAGCTTAGAAATGTGTTTCTTTATTGTTTTATAAAAAATGTATGTGAATTTCATCCTCACTTGTTGCAGTACTTTCAAATAGCTAACAGACACTACTTAACAGTTTGCAAAACTGCTACATTATGTTCAATTTGGAGTTCAAATAAATTAGATTTTCCTGGATGAAAGGAGTGAAAATGTGCAGAAAACATTTTGGTTAAGCCAGTTTATCGAGCTGAACCAATTCCCTAATCGTATAAGCTCAAGTAATTTTTGTTTCTTTTTGAAGCTGTTTCAGAAAAGCAGCATTCCTTCAGTTTTAGAACAGGTCCAGAAAAGTAATGTGGTGCAGGGGTATTTGTAATGCATCAAATACTAGTGTAATTTATTTACTAGTTTGTATCCCAAAGAGGAGGTTTCCTGTCCTTCAAGGGAGCTTCCTGATTAGCCTGAGTCAACAATAGAACTGAGAGCTCGTTCTGGACTAATGCGATTTCACACATATTTTTTCAAATTAACATTTAGCCTTATTTGTGACAGCTGGGGGAGTGTAAATTGAGAGTTTTGCCTGTTTTACTTCAGTAGACATACAGTTAGATAGAGAATAGTTCTCTTAGGATATAATGGAATAATGGAAACTAACATGAGCTTCATGAGAGATTTTCCAAGTTTCAAAGTAAACTAAAAGAGCTAATTAACACCTCAAATTATTGTAGCTGTGGTGTTTGGGTCATCCGGATACTTTTTAACTTTGTCCATGAAATGTCTGCATATATGTTAAGGAATGGGAAATGGATAACACTTCGAATGTGACTTCAACAGAACTGTAGCTGGAGAATGCTGGCAAGATCAACATGTCTGCACATTTATGTAACAATCTGTATTTCTGCAGGCAGCTGCACATGGAGATTACAGCAACTGTGAGCCTTTCTCCTGCTGAGCTAAAGCGGCATTCGCTCCCTTTTACTTGAATCTCAGCCTCCCCTGATGCTGCATTGTATTCTGTTCTTTTGTGGCTATTGTAGGAGGAGAAATGACATCTTTGCCTCCACCATGATAAATATCTCCTTGTAAGATTTTTGAAAGTTGGTACCGAATTGTGCGTAGAAAGAGGCCTCCTTTAAAATCAGATTTCTTTTGTGCAGGGTTGTTTTTATAGTGCTAGTTTTTCTGCCAATTCCATCATTTTGTGTGCTTGTTCTACAGTCATTTAGCTCCAGGGCAGTGATTTCCAATTCTGTGATGTAATTTTCCACCTTCATTCTTCCCTTGCAGAAAACTAGATGCCTTTATTTATGATGCTGCTGTGCTGAACTATATGGCCAGGAAGGATGAGGGCTGCAAGGTAAGAAATAGGTCTGCCATTTCACAGCTCTGCACAATGACATGCTCATACATATGGGCAGGAGATTCCTGTAAGCTATCTAAATGAGCATTTCCACAAGGGCCGAATCTGCCTTCAATAAATCAAACAAACACATCAAACGCCATTTTATTGATCCCTTGGGCCTCTAGCTAAATTAATAATGTCATTTTTAGACAGCACTGATGTTGATTTATTTATAAGGTTGCATCTGATGCGGCTCTTGCAGGACGGATAAAAATCTCTCAGTCATAATTTGTAATGATGTTTGTGTGAGGCCCACGCTCCCAGCAGGTTCATACAACAGCCACTGCAGCAGTAATTACTACAACTGATGTAAAGCTGCATCCCCTCCCCAAAACCATTTCTCATTCTCCAGCGCTGGGATTTTAAGGGACGTAAATATTTAAACAGAGATAACCGCACTGAGGCAGCAGTGACAGAAGGGATGTAGTAATGTTTATTTATCTATGTGTGCTTGATCCCATAAGGTGATGACCATTGGGTCTGGGAAAGTGTTTGCCACCACAGGCTACGGCATCGCCCTGCACAAGAATTCTCGCTGGAAACGACCATTGGACCTGGCTCTGCTGCAATTAGTTGGAGATGGTAAGAGAAAAAAGACTGTTCACATTATATGCAGTTGGAGAAAGCAAATGATTTTTTTTTTTATTCCATGTAATTATATTACTGAGTAATAAGACTGGAGCATACCAGCAAGAACTCATTTTATATTTAATTTCTCTGAGGAAAATTTAAACACAACCAGGTGCTGATATTAGTCAAGCAGCAGTATAAAACACCTACATTTGAGATGCCTCCGGGGCTCAAGAACAGCTAATCGAGGCAGAAAAATGATAAATCTCTTCTTAATTTTTGAACCAGGTTGCTGGTATGTGAAGCATATCTGAAGAAAGGAAAAGTACTTCTGAGGCGCTATAATTCAGAGGTACTAAAGAAGATAAAATAATTCCTGAAGCATCATAAATTTCATCTAGGAAAAAAAAATAGTGTATGCTTTTTTTATTGTTAAAGCAGCAAAATCTAAAATATGTGAAACAGAAGTTTCACAAACTGATTTTATGACTTAAACACATCTGATCCATCAGTTCCATTTGCAGCTGTTTACAGATAACCTTATGTAAAATCTTTGTCATAAGGAGTAGCTAAGAGCTCATGAGTAACACTCTTAACCGATTGCTTACCAGTTTCTTACCATCATAGAAAACACAATGCCATAGCAAAATAGCATTGCATTTAACATGGTACAGTATATGACTTTATCATTATTACCCTGCCTGCTATTTTTTATCTAAAAAAAATTACAATAATAATAATAATAATGACAAAAATAACTTCCCTAGTCATAATGTGGGAGAATATTGAGAATTCAACCCCACTGTTCTCTACTCCCATCCACACCCACGATGAACATGAGAACATCAACAGCACAGTACAAACTTCAAAGACCTTCCAGAACCTAATGTGCAGAAAGAAAACAAATACCCTTCATATTCCCACGTTTAGACCCACATGACATGGGTTTCAAAGTGCTCGTAACATGGCTGTAAGGGAAAACGGTGAAAGGAACACAACCTCATCTCGATCACGTTTTGTGAAGTTTTCAGTTTAGTCCATCAAATCCAGGTGTCCTCTAAAATGTTTGTTTCTATTGCCTCCAGCATTGATTCTGGCAACAAAACACTGGTTCACATGAAAGAACCATTTTTAATCTTCTGTATTACTTTTTAGCAGGCAGAGTTATTGAATTTCACTTGAAATACTTTGTATAGCTTTCAAATTTAGAAGTTGCCAGTCAGAGATGAGCTGGTTCAGACTACAGGCTGTTCTCAAACTAAATTTTTGTTAGTACTGTAATGAGGAAAAATGTGATATGTGCAATAAAACTGTCTCTATGCATTTTGATGCTTTAAAACTTAATAAAACAGGGACCTTTACTGGAAACTTGCCGGAAAACCAATATGAGTAATTAAGCCAATTAAGAATCGACTCAAGCATGGAAATCAGTCTAACAGTGGAAATACTGTGGTGGAAAAATCTACAGTACAACAGCTGATTTTTTAATATAAATCAGACATGATGCCACAAAGAACACTGATTAACGATGGTCTTCAAGAATAGGTCCTGTGATACTTCTGGCCTCTTGAAAACACTCTTGGAGGCACAATTTAATCCTCTCAATGGGGGTAGGGATGGGCAGTTATTAAATAAAATGCAAAAAAAATGATAGAATCTTGGCATGTGTGTGTGTGATGATTCAGAGCAAAGGTTTGAAGATGAGAATTAACAATACAACTCTTTTCTTAAATAAACAAATGAGTGAAAAAAGAAAATATCAGTGCTGTAAGGATTCACTGATTCTTATGGTGGAATTTTATCCTGATACAGAAAGAAACTTAGGACTTTGTAAAGTCTGATAAAGTAGCCTATTTGTAATAGTTGTATTTATTTATTTATTTGGCCAAACAGTTTCACAATTGGTTTTGAATTTCAATAAAATTGACATGAAAATGTTTCCTTTCCAAGTTAGTCTGGACGTTTTGATTGGGTGAAGAATGAATAAGATAATTAGTGGAACAGACAGGTGGAAGAACTCATTAGAGTTTAAAATGTATGAAAAAGTTATACAAGTCACTAGTTAAAAGAAAGAGAGCAAAACTTGTAAGAAATGACAGCTGTTCACATCAGCGTTTAAGGTCAAGAGCCAAACCAGTCACACATGACTAAGATTTTTACATTTTTCTCTCATTTATAAGATGCATTATCTTTCCTTTTTTCATTTCTGAACTTGCTCTCATATCTTATTCACACATGCAAATACAGTTAGCTGATACACCAAGAGATGAGGTCCAAGTTAAACTATAGTTGAAAATCTTACTTCAGTAATATACTTTCTATTTCTGAAAATCTAATCTATTTCTATAGATTAGATTTAGTGTTTTACACTCAAATAAAACAATTTTAATTGAATGTGACTGTAAAAAATATACATTGTGTTTGTAGCAAGGTAGAAAACTGTCTCATTGCTGCTTTTAGAAGAAACAATAAAGAAGTAGACTTTAGGCTACTTTTGAAGTAGCCTAAAGTCAAACATGCCATAAAACTAGGAGTGCAGTTCTTAGATGAAAATGATTTGCTTTGAAATAATTTCCATTCAACCAAGTTTGTTTCTGGTATAAGATGAGAAGTGTAGAAGCCATTTCTCACTAAAGGTGAAATCGCAAAATTATCTGAATTAAAAATTTAGTTGTATTTGACATCCTACATCTATTGAATGTATAAAAAAGACAGAGCAAAAATCTGCATAGTGTAGAAAATCCTGAAAAAGCTGAAAAATAGTACAGCTCAGTGTAATTTATTTACTAGTTTGATAACTCTCCCAGACAAAAAGGATTGTTAAAGACTATTAACATTGCAAACTGTAGGACAAATAGATAAATCAATAAGTATGTGTTTAGCAATACTGAAAAATGCTTGTTCATCCAGGAGTGTGAATAAATTTCCATGCTTATTTGTGGGACTAGCATGTTTTCTTGCTTCAACTGTTTTGCTTAATTGTGCTCTTTGGGTTATTCATTTGGAGCCTGAAGTCTGAGCTGCAGCAATCATGTAATCAACCTCAAATATATATTAATTGATCAGGTGCTGTAAAATGCACTGTGGCCCTAAACGAGATATGTAATTGGTCCTCGTAATCTACCTCTTTGTTAGAGGGATGTCATTTCCTTTTTTTCACATGGTCAGTCATCAAATTGGCTCCCCTGAGGAGTAATTTAGCCTCTTTGCAATTAGTGAACAAGAGATGGTGGCAAATGCCTCAGTGCAAGCAGTGACAGCAGCTCCCGGGGGCAGATGGCCCGACTGGTTGATGGGACATGGATATTAAAAGTAAAATATTCGTGTTCCTTTTTAAAATGAGATGTCTAGCTGTTTTATTTGATGTCCTTCTATATTTCTTTCTAATTGTATAAGGTGGAAGGACAGAACTGCTTCTAAAAAAAGCTTCAACTTCTTTTTGTGCTTATGAAATTAAATGGGCAATTTTACATTTGGATTCTTATCCATATTTATGTATATTAACTTAAACTGCAGCCACAGCTTCACATTCTCAAAGACTAGAGCTATTTGCATTACCTTTGTGTGCAGAAACAATGTTGCACATTGAAAGCTTGTATTGATTAGATGGGTCGTTTTTAACTAATATTGAGAATCCAATCCTCTACTTTATTGAGCATCTTTTAAAAAAGGTAACTTTCAGGTCTAAATGAGATTACATGATTCCCGACCCGGGGTCTTTCTGCATGGAGTTTGCATGTTCTCCCTGTGCATGCGTGGGTTCTCTCCGGATTCTCCGGCTTCCTCCCACGGTCCAAAAACATGACTGTCAGGTTAATTGGTCTTTCCAAATTCTTCCCAGGTGTGTGTGTGTGTGTGTGTGTGTGTGTGTGTGTGGGTGTGTGTGTGTGTGTGTGTGTGTATGCATGTGTGTTTGTCCTGTTTATTTCTGTGTTGTCCATCTGTGTGCCTATCTCCAGTTGGAGATAGGCAGCAGCAACTCCCGACCCCGTTAGGGAGAAGGGTGATCAGAAAATGGATGGGTGGATGGATGGATGGATATGTTCTAGGACTTCATTTTTATTGAAGGCATTGACAAAATTGGAAATTCTGTGTTCGTTTGTGAGAAAATCTGAGGCCTAACCGTGCTTTTAAATTGATCTCTTTAAGATGAGATAGCTTACTGCCGAGTTACACTCGGCTTCAGTGGAGTTTAGAGAAATAAACTACCTTTAAAGAGATGCTATGAAAACACCCTGATGCAGAAGAAGAATTACTTATAACTGCTGACATTGTATTTCAGTGAAAATCCCACAGCAGCATACATCCAAAGTTTTCCTCCACTACACTGTTTCTTTGTGCCTCTTACACAGCTTCATGCTGACTGAGCAAAAGTAATAAAAATCACCTGCGCACACACACACGCAAGTATGCACGCATGCAACAAACGCACGCACTCAAAAAAGAAAAAGTGAATATGAACATCTTTTGGCACTGAAGGTAAGGAAAACTGTCGCAGTACAATACACCTGGGGGAAACTGATTTCTTTTGTTGTTTACATCCTTTTTGAAATTGCTCTGAGTTTCCATTGACCCAGATGCTGATCTTCATTTTACAGACAGAAAGAAGAGTCAGACAATGTGTCCGTTTGTGTGGATCTGCAATGTTGTAGTATAGCATTTTTACCCAGCATCCCTGCTTTCGTTTTAACGGTGCAAGCTTTTGCTCATTTAGCCACATATAAACATGCACTTTCTCTACCTGCAGTCAAAAACAGTACATTTATAATGCAATATGCAGATCGGCTTTATGTCTGCAAGTATTTGAAATGTAAATTTTACAGAGAGGAGATAAAATAAATAGAGCTTTGAATGCTGTGCTGTGATTATACACCTCTGTGTGTGATTTATTTTCTCCCAAATTCAATCCTAAAAATCTGTTTCTGGTGGAGGGTTGTTGCTTTCACATCCAACAGTATTTTTTTTTTCCTATTTGTTTCATTATTGAAGGTCAGTATATAAACTAGAAGTTTTATGTATGTTTTAGATAACACAATTTATGGTTTCTGTTCATTTAAAATATTTTATTTTTCATTTGCACAAAATATGGAAGTGAATGTCTTTACTCAGACAACCATTTACCACTGCCCAATTCTTACTTTTCCCTTCCAAACGCAAATGCGCACACACAGTGCACACAGTTGCAGTGGTCTCATAGTTTCAACGGACAATAAAAAAAGTAATAAAAAAAAACTTTGTTTTTGCTCAACAAAGAAAACATTTTTTTTTTGTTTTGTTTTCTGTGTTTTCTGCCTCGGCATTCCAGGCACAGCTTATGAAGATGCTGAGTGCCTTCATGTTCCAGGGCATTTCTTTTATCCACAAAAATAATATGATAGGATGTGTGATATTTAATCAGTGTTGCAATTAGGATCAAACAGACACATTGATTATTGATTATAGACATTTTTATTACCCATTTTTCAAATAGTGATTCTTTTTACTTTTCTAACAGATTCCATTGTTTTTAGTAAGACTTTTGGTGTTTAAACTATCTTTGATGACAAGCACCCTGTAACAGGTAGAGAAATGATCAAAATAAATAGTCCTCTTCATGTCATATGTATATCCAGGAAAAATGTTTGGGAAGTTATGAATAAACAACAACAATGTTCTCTCAAATTAATTTTTTTGTAAATCTTTGTGAATGAATATAACTGTCACAGGTTAAAAACAAATGTCTCAACAGTGATTTTTTTTTCCTTGACTAAAGTCTGATTTTATATTGTGAGAAAAGTGTTTTGGATTTTTTTTTCTTATTCAGTATCCTTGTTTTGGTTGTGAGCGAGTGGAGAGTGTAGAGCACTTGTTATGTATAAAAAAAACAAAGAAGAAAATATTTTGCATCTTACATCCTTTGGAATATAAGAACATCCTTCTTCTAAAACTGGTTTCTCAAACATTATCTCATCTTTTAAAGATTTGTTGATGTCTTGACAAAGCAATTTTTGCTCTGAGATTGATGACATGACAGTGCCAAACATAATTTACTTCTGTCACTCACAAAGTAGCCTTTGCACTACCTTCCAATTTTTGTCCTTTCTGTGTATGTTTCTCCATTTGAATAAACTGTAAAAAGATGACAGCTATTTTATTATTTTTTTTATTAAATACAAAAGTGAAAAGAGCAGACTAAATGTGCTCTTCGCTCTGCCATTTTAAGTCAAGATTGTATAACCATCCAGTTCCACTCAACTGGGGAACAATGTAAAAGTATGCAGCCCTGTCCTAAAAGTACAAAAAAAAGTGCAATAATAAAAACAGATGACCTGTTGCCATAATACTAAAATAATCATCTATCTAGAAATTAAAATGATGCCAGTCTATTACAATCATCCTTTGTGGTTTTCTAACATTTACTTTTCGATAATTAGGTTTCCTTGGCCTTATTTATTTAGAATATTCCCGTTGTCTCCAGTGAGGGAAAATGGTTTGGCAAAGAATGGAAGACTTTGGCTAAGTCTCTGACATACCTATTTTTCTTCTGTGTTGAGTCTATTGTGCATCAACTATTGTTTTCTTTACATTAGTGTAGGGGATGTCAAACACATGACATAACCTCAGACAAAATACACAATTTGCTTATTTGATTTGAGAAAATCCTGTTGATGTGAAAAGCACTTGGAAGGATTCCTCTTGTTTGCCTGCTTTTGCAGTCACAGCAGGTGATGCTGTATCCTTAGAACTGCCTCAGGTGATAATAGCCTTAACTTACTGCTTTTCTGCACAGATTGGATAAGAGAAATATTTTACACAATGCCATTGAGAGGATTAAAAATTATAGGGGATTAATTCTTTACTGTAAACCACTGCATAGATGTTGGAGGAATACAGGAATGGTGGATTTAAATAGGAGTGAATTTACAATGATTGCAAGTCACAAAAGAACTGTTCATAGATGGAACCATGAGTTTAACTTTATGGTCTGCATGCTAAATATTTTCTTCTATTGTGAGGAAGAAAGGACACAAATGGAATCATGTGCTTTTGCAGCCTTACTTGTGAAAAATGTTCTCTAAATAAAAGCTTTATTGACTGCAATAATTTCATATAAAATACAGAAAGTAAAAAAGTCTGGGCAAAGAAAATAAACCAACAAGCTGTGATCAAAATGTGAAGAATTAGATCCTCTGAGTAAGCCACCATTGAATGAACATTCATCTCAGTGGCTGTTGTGACATTTGAATTCAAGCAAGCCTTTTAATGGATGTCAAATTTTGCACAGCAGTTATTACTGGAGTGAGATTTTGTTTCTTTTTTATTTGAGCAAATTTGAAGTTTCAGTCATTCTAGCTGAGTGGTAGAAGTCTAATTGACGTGGCACAGTGTTAGGAGGCGTTTCCAAGCCACAGTAATTAACCCAAAGGTCGGCTTATAATTGAAGATGGGATCCTCTTTAACTGGGGCGTCGTGAGACTGTGTACAGTGACAGATCCTGAACCCATGTGTAAGACACTGTGCTTATGTGCTTGATTCAGAAGTTGTCTGCAACCCAGTCATGCACACCCAAAGCCCTGTACATGGGAAGATGAGGTACCGTTCTCCTTTGCACAACCTCATTCTTTTTGATTAATGCAGTAATGACCAGGGCAGAGAGCCTTGTCACACTGGAGTTCAGAGTGTGTGCCTCGCGTGTGTGTGTTTTGGATAGTTTGAGCAGGAAATGTAATGTTTGTGTGTATTCCTCCTTTCATCTCCCATGTGCTGTCGCATCACTCTGCCCTCAGTGTACTCGCCTCAGACACAGAGCCATTTCAGAATCGGCTTCAAAGAGTTTCTCTCTGCCACTAATTCCCAATTTTTACTTTCGATCTCATAACTTTTGAAGGAAAAATATTTTACATTTCTGCTCTTTGTGAACTTTCTGTCTGTTCTGAGCACTTGATGGTTTGTTTTACAAGTTCTTCTGTTTGTTATTTTATTATTATTATTTTTATATTGTTTCTATCCAGCTGTTTTATTTAACATTTTTGCAGGAATATTAAAACAAGAATTGTTTTCCTCTACTTATTTCTCCTCACCATGCTCAGTTTCATCATCCATTCCTTTCATTTTTGTTGAAACTACATTTTCCTTCCTCTCTCTTCAGCTTTACTTGTCATGCTTCAGTGCTCTCTCTTAGGGGATCAAACACCTTGATCTCATGACAAAAAGGTGGTAATCCCCTCCTTTGCATTTTTTACTTAATTTCCCCTTTCCTGCTGTACTGTCTGAACTTTTCCCAATTGTCTTTTGCATGTATCCCTTCAACCTTAATTAATTTTAATTTTACCCTTTAAACACACTCACCCATCACCTCTCAGCTCCATCTTCTCACCAATTTGATCTTCTTTCCACTCCTCCTTTCCTTTTTGTTTCAGATGAGATTGATATGCTGGAGCGCCTTTGGCTGTCTGGAATTTGCCACAATGATAAAATTGAGGTATGATGTCTTATTCAAAGCTTAACTTAGTCTACTGAGCCATGTTCTGTGTGTATTTATTGATTAGTTAAGCAGTAAAATGTAACCATGAATTTCTCCAACCAATAGCTTCCAGATGAGCTCTGTCTATTCTCACTACAGTTTAGGGGAATTCTCTTTGCAATTTTCTTCTCTCACTGCTACATTATTCTGTGCCTTTAGGTGATGAGCAGTAAGCTGGATATTGACAACATGGCAGGGGTATTCTACATGCTGCTGGTGGCCATGGGTCTCAGTCTCCTGGTGTTTGCCTGGGAGCATCTGGTGTACTGGAAACTAAGGCATTGTGTCAAAAGGTCTGGAGGGATGGACTTTCTCCTGGCTCTTAGCAGGGTAAGAAAGAAGAGATAATTTAATAAATATTCTTCTAATATTAAGAATGACCTTTAAAGCCAGTAAACTGTTGAAAAAGAGTCGTACAATCATGTATTATTGCCAATCAGTGAGTGAGCTTTATGAATGTCTGGAGGATGTGCTATGTTTCATTCTTATAACTGCAGAGAGATACAATTTGAATCAAGGCTAACAGCATGGTTGGGTGAAGGGGAACTGGTGTACAATGATCTATAACTTGGACAATTTTAGTGTATTTCCTAGTAGTTTTAATCTATTTTACAATAAGAAGTCAAAAGTCTTATATAGTTGAATATATGCATTTATACAAAGGACTATTTCTGCGTTCCCAACCAATTAGTGCTGAATGTTATTGTCTCAACCTAGTGGACTTGTAAAGATTTAAAGGAGAGACTTTTTTTCTCAGTGAGAGCAGGAAGAAAGTAACAATATTTGGTAAAACCCAAAGAATTTCATTTTTCCCTGTATTTGATCATGTTCCATGTTCTTAATGCATCCCAAATCAAATATTGCTAAATTAAATAAATGAATAAAAAATATATATAATTTGTCTGGCTCAAAGATTTGGTTTTTTTGACCACATAAAAAGTTTGGTGTTTCATAGTGAGAAGTTCAAGTACAGCAACCTTTTGCCTTCTCAATAATAAATAAGTTATTTTCAGTTTGGATAGATATGCTTGTAGGATAGTACGTTCTACTTTAATAATTCTTACCAGGTAAAATGTTTAAAACCATTCACATTAGTACTGACAGTGCACAATAATATGTTTTCCCATAGTGTGTTGTCTTTCTATGATTCCTTGATTTAATGTTCTTGACTGAAGTCCAGTTCACAAATTCCTAAATTAAACCATGATTTGAAGTATAAAGTGCATATATTTCAATGCATTCAACAGTAGGAAATGCAGTTAAAGATGTTTACCAAATTTCAAATACCATATATTTCAGATAAAAAGGAGTCATGTGTAGAAAGTAGTCTGCTCCTGCCAGTTTTAATATTTAATATATATAAAAATGGACAAAAAAACTGTGTCTGGGAATCAGAATAGAATATAATCAAAGGCATCAGTTTTTAATAGCTGTGACTCTGAAGTAGCTGATTGTACAAATTTGCAAACTGTTGACTTAAAAAGGAGCTAATCAGTGAAACAACCATTAACTTCTTTCCAGATTACTTCAACATTGCTGATGAATAATTTATGCAGGACCAGATGTTTTGATAAACCTCAAGGTTAAAAATGTTTTGGGTTCTTTCTTGTTTTTGGAATGATTTTAATCAACCATGCTTATTTGTAATACTAATGTTTTCAGTACAAAGACCTATTTAATAATAGAGTCAGAAAATACAAAAAGGTTTTCAGATACAACCAAGATTTATATTGCGTGCAGCCACATGTAGGCATCAATCTTATTGGCACTTGTCTCTGGCACTCAGCAGGGACAAGGGAACAAAGCCAAAATAAGTAGCAGCATTTATCTTTGGCATCATTTTAAGAAGAGCTTTAAGAGCCCAATGCAGAGTGATTACTCTGCTGTTACACAACTGTCTCCTTTTTATGTCTGCAGGGTTTCTGTAAGTTAAGCCCAGGCAGTTTGTGTGGGGCTAACTGTGAAATTGAAGGTAGTTCGCAAGCATGTTAAATAATTAACTCAGAAAATTGTATGAAAGAATTTCAAAGTGGGTGTAATTGAAGAAAAAAACTGAGTTTTAGGTGCTCTGTTAGATAGGGGAGCTTTGAGATAACAAAAGAGCAGAACCAGAAGTCAATGAGACAGTTGTTAGTTTTGAGTGGCGAGATAGTGGAGCATAATAAATGCTGTGCAGGCCAGCAGCAGAAAAGTGAATGAAACAAATTACAAAAACAGTACAGAGTGAGGTCAGAGAAGAGCTGGAAAGCAGCAGACAGGTGAGAAATATGAAGTTCAAATACAGACAACAATGGTGCTTTCAAACAATGTTTGTTTGAACGGCTACTATAAAAAATCTAAATTGAAATAAGAGTAAAAACCAGAAGTGAATGTTGTCCTAAGAAGTGTTAACATGAATTACATTGAGATTTTTGAAAGCTGAGCTTTTTGACACTAGAACAAAAATTGGTCATTTTGACATTTTGAACATTTTCAGTTTTGTGTAAAACTTTTAAATTGAACTGCTTCAAACTGCTATATTTAGCAACCCCTAAGTAAAGGGATATTTGGAACTTGAACTTTGACCTTGACCCCAAGAACCTTAAGAATGTAATGTCAGAAATGGTTGTTACTCAACTTATTGTTCTATAGCCTTATTCCAAATTGTATTGTGTGTACACCTTAGAGCCAGAATTGTCTTGAGGCACAAATCTGAGGAAGAAAACAGAAAAATGCACACTGTAGACCACTCGCAATAAACCATTTGACTGGCTACCTTTGTATCTAATTCTCAGCAGTCTTTTTGATTGTCTAGTTAAAGTTAGTTTGTTGTTTTGTTTTGTTTGCTTTCTTTGTTTTACTTGTTATTTAGAAATATTGCAAGTAGATCTTCATCCTGGACAATTTGAAGTTCAATTTCACATTTCTTCATTAATATATACCCATCGTGTCAGCATACTTGGCTGAACTTTTATCTATAATATTTTCCATTTTGACGGAAAATATTGATTATACCTCATGTTCCTCAACCTAAAGTTTGGTTGTTAAATATTTATTAGGGTATATATAACATATACCTCTGCTTTTAAGTTTGTTTGTATGTGATTTCCTTGAACACAGTCAGCAACTTACCCTGATTTCCAATTTCACAGTGTGCAGCATCCTGTGCTCCAGGGACTGAGGTAGTACTTCTGTCACTGGGAGTGCCAATTCATTTGTCCAGAAGGGCCATTATTATAGCCCCTCCATTAGATCTATATCTGGGTGGAGAGCAGAGATTTACAAGAGGCCTTATTATTATGGTGCAGATATCAAATGAGTCATCTTCCCCTATCATGTGAGGAATAATAGAAATTTGGTGATTTACATGACCACTCTGAGAGCTGCTAATTGAGTTCCATTTCTCCTCTCTAATGTGTAAATAAAGAAAAGAGGACCACAGTGTCATAGAAGGGATTTAGTTATGTGACATAAATTTCAGTTGACTTATGTTTTATTTTAGGGTGGAAGAGGGATCAAAATTTAGGATATTTAATGCAGTTTTATATTTCGGTTCAGTTACTTGAAGAGTCTTTTTCAGACTTTTCAGAACCAGATAGCACAAAAAAAAAGAAAACTAAGAGAACAAGGCTGTAGGAACAGAAAACCAAACAACTAAACCAATTTGCACCATAAGACCGTTTAAAACTTAATACAAATTATCAAATAAAATGGACACATTAGTTCACAAATAAGATGTTTTAAATTCACAAATAAGATGTTTTAAATTTATGGGGAATATTTGTTGATGCAGTTAGAAAGTTTCTTCTTTCAACAGCAACATTAAAAGTTGGTAAAAGGGGATTTTATTTTCACAGTCGTCACAATAAATATGGTTCTTGATTACATCTAAATTTAGACAGTAGAGTTTTGAAACAACTTTATTTTTCACCTAATTATTTATTCATATAAAATATATCAAAACTGTCTTTTAAAAATAGTTTTTACATTATTTATTACTCAGAATATTTTTACTATTTTTGATTTTTGTTCTTTTTTTTCAAACCAAGGGTGTTGGTATTCATGTTTTTCTGCATTTGAAAAACATGGATATGTGCATACAGTCTCCTTCTTTTCATACACGACTGCCTGTTGATCTAATTATGGCCCCTCTGTTATCTCTCCACCCAGGGGATGTACAGTTGCTGCCAGTTTGAGGATGAGACAGCACCGGGAGGGAGCAAAAGCTCTTTGCCTCAGTACCACTCTGTTACTACTATCCCCAGTGTCCCCCAACAACACCTTGTTACAGCCACAGTGAACAACACAACCGCTATCGCCATGGTGCAACAGCAACAACAGCAGAAGCACCACCAGCAGCAGCAAGGGCAGACCTATACCACTATGTTGCCTGGATCACCAGCAGCTACAGGACATTCAGCAATGGCTCTGGGTCCTTCCAATAGCCCTTTATTGGAAGGACCCATGCCTTGCTCCACCTTCCTGCCTCGTCATGACCGCAGATTGGCTGTGGTTGATCGCTGGAACAGGCCAAAGCCAGAAAAAATCATGAGCGGAAGCAGCAGTGGAGGAGTGGGTGTTGGTGGAATTGCAGGTGGCATCACTGAACTGCAAGCACAGCAGCAGTATCAACAGAATCTTGGAACACATTGGAGCCTCCAGGTAGGGGTTCCTGGTGGAGGTGACACAGGGCTAGATGAATATAAGCGCTACTATGGTCCAATAGACCCAGAGGGGCTAGGGGCTAACTTGGACCAACAAGTAGGAGGTCCTCAACAGACTACCAAAGCCAATTCTCGAGGTTTTAAAGCCCCGGGGATGCCACGGCTGCCTCCAAAAGGCTCTCAACAAGGACACCCAATCCCCAAGCCTCCTCCTCCACTCCCATCTTCTCCACGAAGGCCTCCCTTTTGGCGAAGAGGAAGCCTTGCTCAGGCAAGGAGAAAAGGCTCAGGAGGTCCACTTTATGAGAATATACTCCCTCTAGGGAGACGAGGAGGTGGAAGATATGGGGCAGGTGATGGAGTTGGCAGGCGAGGACGCCGACCTCCTCCACCTCCTCCACTTCCTGTGCCCCTCTCCTCCCCTACACATACCCCTACTACTCCGTCGTCTCCATGCCGTTTCTACTCATCTTGCACCAGTGCCTCGTCTTCTTCCTCTTCGTCGTCTTCATCCTCATCATCTTCTTCATCCTCTGGATCACTTTCTCGATCAAATTCCCCCTCATCATGTTCCAGTGACAGCTCCTACAACTCCTCACTCAGTTTCCGGTACCGAGCAGGAGATCATGATTTTATGGTGGATGATGATTATGACTCAGATCTTCTTACTGAGGAATCAAGCCTTCTTCTTGGGTCACGGAAGAAAGTTCGTTCCCGGAGGATGTCATCACGCTCACTACCATGTAGTCCACCACCTCCTCCAGTCCCTCCCCGAAAACCACATCCACAGAGAAATTTTGGAAGAGAGAGAACCAGCAGTCAACTGGCGCAATTGCAGGAGTGGTGGGCATCATGGAGTGACAGAGAAAGAGCGAGAGGAGGGACATCAAACAAAGATGGAGCAGTGAGTAGAGATGAGAAAAGACACCACAAAGAGAGAGAGCGGGAGAGAAAAAGGAGAAAGAAAGGACGAAAAAAGAAAAAGCGAGAGGAAAGAGAGAGAGAAAGGGAGCGTAAGCGCCGCAAAGCAAAGAAGAAAAGGAAGAAAGAGGATAAGACGAAAAAAAGAGAGCGAAAGAGGGCAGATCAAGAAGTTGGAGATCCAGAAAAACGAGAGGAAGTCAAATCAGCAACACCAGACTTCCCAGCTTACCCACCTTTGAGACGGGAATCATTTCGGAAAAAGAGTGAAAGCTCTATCAGAAGCTATGGATGGAACATCCCTGGCGAAGATGAAAGGAAGGATAGACATGAGAAAGAGAGAGATGATGGAGAAGAGAATAGAGGAAAAGACAGACAACACAGGAGAAGAAACAGCAAGAATCTTCATAGCTCTAGTAAGGCTTCTACATCTGTCAAGTTCTGGCAAGGAGGTAATCTATCTTCTGATGCCATACCATCTGCCTTTCTGCCCTTGTTACCGGTATCTTCTAAAAGAAGGAAAAGCAAAAGCTCAGACAGAGATGCTGTGGGCATGGAGGGAGAGAGGAGGCCACTGCTAGGAAGGAACGAAAGAGGTGAAATGCATTCTAAGGAAGGATTGTCTTTCCATGAGTGGGAATCTGAAGTAGAGGATGAGGAGGAAGATTCTGAGTCAGACAGGAGGAAAGTAGAACGTGGAAAAAGGCATAGAGGAGGTAGGACAATATCTGAAGAGGAGCGGGAACGTGATAAGGTAGTTGGGATATACTCTGATGACGATGGGTCTTCAGGAGAATTTGGGAAGTTTGAGAGGTACTGGGAGGATCATGAAGGTAGGGCAGTGGGAGGAATTGGAGGAGGGGGTTGGTTTTTTAGCACATATCCCTCTAGGGATAAAGCAGGCAGTGTCAACAGCAGAGATGACCTCTTCCAAGAGCGAGGAGAAAGATGGGGAACAGCAGAGAGTGGGTGGGGATCTAGTGCAGGTGGAGGTGGTAGAGGAGAGAGAGGCTGGGGATCAGGTTCACACTGGCCTCCACCTCCTCTCACCCCACCACCACCCCGTCGATACTGGTCAGTAGACAAGCTTCACATACAGGATGAGAAGAAAAGTAAGCGCAAGTCCAAGGACAAAAGTAGGGGGCACACTGCTTGCTCCTCCTGTCATTCACCACGACACCATCCACATTCCTCTAAATGGGCTCGTGTGACTTCACGAAGCCAGGAAGAGCTGTACCACCACTGCCAGAGTTTTGGTGGTCCCCTGAAACCAAAACACGACTCCTCATTATCATCTAAACCTGATCGATCACATAATCTTTCTAAATCTGGTAGCCAGTCAAACTTAAACATCCAGCAAAGGACACAGAGAACAGAAAAGGATCGAGATCGAGGAAGACAACCATCCCCACCTTCGTCTCTTGTATCAAACTTGCCATCACAGCTCCCAGCCCTTCCAGCTCCTCCGTCCTCATCTCACTCAATTCATGCTCCTCTCCCTACCTCTTCCTCATCTGTTTCCTCTCCCTCAGTGGTTTCATCTGCACCAGGAGCAATCCAGGCCTCTTCAATGGCTTCGGCAAGTGCCAAACTGCAGTACCAGAGACTGCGCTCTGTACCCCAGAGATTTCCTCAGTCTCCTCACTTACCCCTAAAAGCCAAGAGCCTTTGCTCACGAAGGGACTCGGCTCATTTCTCCAGTGTGGAGAGTGAAGTGTGAATTTAAGCAAGAAAACAAAAGCTCTACTAATGTCCTGCAAAGTTGACATAAAAAAGAGGAAGTGCAAATATGGTTGTGTAGCTTAGTCAGTTCAGCTCTGAGCCCATTCATTCCTTAATGTTCTGCACAAATGAACAAACAAACAAACCAGAAAGCCAAACAGAGTCAGTGGAGTAGGTCAAGAGAACACAGGACCATTTTTTTCTTACCGATGCCTCGTTAATATTCTCTCATCCTGTGAAAGACAACAACTGCATTGACTCTCTGAATAATGCTTAACATTAGAGTAATCTGATATGAAAAGCATCACTAATACAGAAGGCATATTTGCTGTTATAAGTAAAGGATTTTGAAAAGGTAAAGCAGTGAAGTTGTCAGTGCATTCAGAGAAATCTCAATACTTTCTGAGGGCTCAGAAACTTTATAGTACTGTATGCCCGCTGCTCTCAGAAGCCTTTAACACTGAACACTGTTCTGATTTTTTCCTTTTAAACAAATTGCTTACCTTGATTTTCTTTTTCCCCAAACAAACTGTTTACACTCCCGCAGAACTGTGACAGCCACCTAAAGTATCTTTGTTGCGTGATCAATGCCTTCTTGTCAAGAGGGACAGGAGGATGGTTACTACCTGTTATTTTTCTTTTTCTTTGCTTTCTTTTTCCTCCAACTTTATTACCTCGTCCCCCCCTCCCTCTGCCCCCGCTCCTTTTTTTCATTTTCTGTTTCTTCTTTTTTACTTTCTTTCTGTGTTCTTCACATACCAGTCTTTTTTCAGCTCTCTCGCCAGCTCCTCTCCTGTTCTCTCCTCTTGCCTCTTCTCTTTGATGTGATTATTCTGTGTGTCTGTGCTTTTCTGTGTTTGTATTCTTGACAACAGGGTAAGTCAGCTGTGACTGATATTCTTCTGGCTTAATGAAAAGCTGAGTGCCAAACTTAAGTAGAGCTCAACATCAACATGTATAATGTTTCCAGCTGTGTTTCCTTTTATCTCGCAGAATATTACATCACCTCCAATACTGTATGTGCTCACACTAATGCAAACAAACACACACTCATGCACGTGCATATACACGCACCCACACAACCCCAAAAATGCTCCAATACATGTAAGAACACATGCAAATTACCAAGTCAAGTCATCTACTCTTCTTCTTGAGCAATTCATTATACCATATTTGTTCTTGTTAAAGCTTTATACTTAAATACCATTTCTTTACTTCTGTGTCATAGTTGTTGTTGCTATTGATGGTGTTTTAAATGTCAAGACATGTATTAAGTCTAATACAATGTAATCACTGTGCCATGCTACTCTAGCTTGGGTACACATAAAATGTTCTCACAACTACCTAACTACAAAACCGGAGGCAGTTTCTGTTCCCTGCCTGTTTTTCGACTGAATGTAAGGTCAGCCGCCGACATGTGTGCTGCACCATTTACTGTAAGACACTTGAAGATGGAACTTGTAGCACTTCAGAGGGTCTACATGCATGGTAAAGAAATAGATAGAACGTTGATGTGGGTCATTGTTGACAAAGCGGGGTGAGCAACAATATGTGAATCTTGTGGAGTTCTGAAGAATTGGAGCTGCCATTGATTGGAATGGAATTGTCTTTTTTTTTTCTTGTTAATTTGTTTTCTATTTTTTGTTGGCTTTATTTTATTCTTCAAGTTAGTGCCAAGGCTCGAGAACAAAAAAAATATATTTTAAAAAGCTTATGAAACCACTTTTGCTTGCCATCAACCAAAAGACATGTAGTTAAGCAGCTTGTTGGTGATTTACAAATTGTTTGACTTTCTAGCCTTATGCTAATTGCTCCTGTTAAGTATGAGTAAGAAGGTATGTCAATGTATTATCAGAAAGTTATTTACCTATGAATACATTTAGTGCCAGAGCCGTTTTGATGTCACAGGGAAGATGCTTGTGATGTGATAAGTGTTGGAGCTAAATGAGAGTATATGGAAGACACAATGGAATATATTGTGATATTTTGTTAAAAATATTAAAAAGCATTTCTCATCTTGTAAATGTGTGATCATAAGACATAGCTTTTTATCCATGGCATGGCTGACGCAGTTACAACAAATTTTAGATTCACTTTATTTAAAATTAGGTTAAGAGGTTTCTTAAACTGGAGGCTGGGCATCAGTGAAGAGGTAGGAAAAGGACGAAGGTTTTATCAGTTGCTGAAATGTCCTGAGCCATCTTTCCTTAAAATTCTGGTCAGCTCATGTTGATCGCCCTGGAACTGCATCTGAGCCATAATTTAATTTAACTGAAGAAAACAAAGCAAAGACTAGCTTTTTAATATAGATTTTGTCATATAGAGTTTGTCTTATTTTAACTGAGATAAAATTATTTATATTTCATATATGTAAATATAACTACCATCATAAAAAAATGTAAGATATTAAAAAATATATATCTGTTTAAATAACAATAAAATGTCTCAAATTAAACCATACTAAGCAGATACAGTAGAATGAAATTCACACATGTAAAAACAGTGAGCCATCTTTGCTTTGCATATTACAATCAACAGCCTTTGGATAAACTAAGCAAACATGGGGGGGCATTCCTCTATGCATTCACAAACTAAGCAACCTAAATTTGAGTCCAAACGGTTTGACTTGATGTGTGTGAAGGCTGTCGCAAAAAACTTTAATGTTAGTCAGCATTATAGATATGTAATTATACAGAAGGTCAGTTGCACAACAGCTAGTAGCGGTCTGAACGTAAAGCTTGAGTGTTTGTTAAAAAAAAGACCATCGATCTTTCCCTTTTCTACTTCTCTTTTTTCCCTTATGTCTATCCATTGTGCTGGTATCTGTCTGCAATTGTAAAGCTGGTATGTTTTTTTTGTTTGTTTTAAACGTATCTACTGATATATTTATTTAATCAAGAAAAAGCCCATTTCTCTCTATGTATATAATAGTATATTTCAAAACTCTATTATCTGTTATATAAGTTTGTCTACTAAATTCATGGTATTATCTTGAAAATGTCTTTTTTGTCTGTGTCTCTCCTTGTCTCAGACCGACTGCCCAGCTCCCTCACCCCCAGTGAAAACAGAGACCAGTATGTAACTGTGTTTTTGCTCACCTAAGACCAACCATCTGCCTACATTAGCTATTTCCTATAGCTAGTGCAAAGAGCTGAACGTATAGTGACAACAAGGAGGGGAGCATGAGTGTCTTAAGACCACGTCACTGTAGCAGTGATGGTGTGTGTTTGTCTACCCAGAGGGGCCTTCATTTTTTGGCTTGGGCAACAGATAGAAAGCTAACTAAATATTTTAATGATGCAGGAGCTTTTACCACAATTTTCATATGTGAACGGGTCCTATTCTAGACCCTCGGTTTTAGTTCATTGCATTTGTGATCTCTCTTAAATACAATGTAGTGAGCAGCACAAATCTTACTTTGTTACTTCTTACTAAACATGCATTGCATATCTGTCAAGCTGCTGTGCTGAACAACAAAAAATACAAACAAAAATTGTATATTTCTTAAGCAAACTGTATTTTCTGAATACAGAACTGATATGTCTGATTTCGACACCTGTGAGAAGAGCTAAATCTCCTATTTATTACCACTTTGGCTAAAAGGGGCTGATCAAAGGCTTTCATGAACACAGGTGCATCAAAAAAAAAAATGTATATTATGAAAAAGGTGAATATTTTCTGCCACTCATTTCAGAAAGTGAAACTCGTACAACTTCATTACACATAGAGTAGAAGATTTATTTCTTGTAATTTAAATGAGTATGACTTACAGATGATAAAAATCCCAAATTTAGTGTCAATGAAATGTCAGGTTTCTGAAAGTGTGTATTCATTTCTATGCATTCAATAGTTTTCTGGGGCTTGTTTTGCATGAACAAATGCATTAGCCTGTTTCATTGTTGAGATGTATTGGAAGCCCAGGTTTCTTTGATGGTGCCCTTAAGATCTTTTGTTTTGTTTTGTTCAGGTCAGATTGTGGGCCAATCCAGCCCTGTAACACTGTGGTGTCTTTGACAGTACACACATGTGCCAAGTCCTGGTGGAAATTGAAATCAGACTCTATGAATCTTGAGATCAGAAGTGCTTTAAAATGCCCCATTAGATGGCTGCAGGCTTCAGATAATACAGTGGATCAACATCAACAGGTGACATGAAATATGGATTCTCCACTCATCCTCCACACTCCAATTTCCAAAGAAACAAAAATAGTATGTCATCTGAAAAAAGGACAGGGGAGCAGCAGTCCAGTTCTTGTTCTTCTTCATCAAGGTGAAATACTTCTGAGACCTGTGTTTCAGGAGGTGCATGACACAAGAAATACATTGTTTTCATACCTTGCAAGAGACTGTGCATAGTGCCGCATTTGTGCTGGATATAGCCTCAGTCTGCTCTTTGTGCAGCTCACCTAAATTCTTGAAAACATTTTGCCTGATTATCCTCTCAAGAATGTGGTGCACCACTTTGCACATTATTGAGAGGATAATCTCAAGATTGGAAGGTTGTCCTTCCATTCAACCTTGCTTGGAAATAGGACTCTGAAAAAACAGCTTCCTTAGCAATGACCTTGTATGATTTACCCCCTTGTGGAGAGTGTTAATGGGTGTTTTCTGCACATTTACTGAGTCCAACATTCTTCCCCTTTTTTGTAGCCTACTGACCCTACTGAACCATTTCGAGGTTCTGAGTTAATTAGCAGAGGTAAAACTGAATTTCTAATATTTACCTTTTTGGCAATACTCAAATAATCTTAGACACTGAATTTTGGGTTTTCTTTAAATGCAAGCCATAATCATCAAAATGATCATAATAAAAACCTAATACATTTTACTCTGTTATTGATCATTGTAACATGTTTCACTTTCTGAAAAGTGATTTTTTTTTACTTACCTGTACACTGGTTCAATAATGTTTTGCTTTATATCTAGTGATATAAACAATATAATATCCCATGATGCCAAGAACAATTTGGCACCTATTACTGTCTTTTACATGTTATATATCACATCATCATCAGCATTGTTGGCCTGCTTATGACTTTTTACGCCATTGATTACTACTTTTGTGCCATGATGCCATTTACAATTATTCTTTCTTCCCTTTTTAAAGTACTGAAGGCAGTATTTAGTTTATTAAAATCTAAACACATCCCCGAAACTTCAACAAATTTAACATGTAGGAGCAGTAAAAATGTATATCTCTCATCGGTTGCAAAGAAAATCACAAAAAAAAAAGATTACATTTCTGACACACCTTTTAAATTACAGCAATTTTAGAGCAGATACATTTGTATAAATCTGCAGGGCGGGCTAAAATATTCTTCAATGTATGCCTTAAACTCAACAGTAAATAGGCCATTTTGGATCTAAGCTGCCATTTTCAAGGTTTTACACATGTGGTACTTTGACAAATGCCTCCTGGGGACTTTCACATATCAGCTTTAAATTTGCTTCAGTACATTCCTATGACATCTTTTTCTTGGACTGAATAAAATCTAACACGCCCAACTTCATGTTAAATGTGAAGTCCAAGAAAAAATTATTTCCTATACATTGTCAATGACAAGCCCTACTTTCATAACTCTACATATTGGTGACGGTATATGCAATTCTAAATTACGGAAATTGATTCGGAATTGCTGACAATACATTTGTGGATGCAGACTTAAATTTTTACTTTTAACAAAGTTAGAATTTTTTTAATTCCCTATTTCTCTTTTTCCATTACAGTTGCCATTTTACAGAATACATGTTTGAGAAGAGTAACTGAAGATATGATAAATGTCAAGTTTAAAATTGTGTTTAGGATTATGTGAAACTAAGTTTCAGCCTGCACTGGAAGCACATCTTCAATTTTTGCAGATGTGCTTATGATCTGAACAATGTCTTATGGTGTTGTATTACTACTGCTGTAATGACTGACTGTATGGGGAAACTGGCTGTTCTGTGTTTTGTGCCAGCACATCACACAGGCAGGCAAGCAAACATGATAAATTCACATTAGAATCACACATTCATTCACAGGTGTGGTAAAATGCTGCCACCACTCTGCTTTATCCACATATTCCAAACAATGGGGACAATGACAACATTGTGCTGTAATGCAAGTGGGACAAAAATAAAAAAGATGATTTTAATAAAAACATGATGTGTGTCAAGGTTTTCTTCTTCTATGCTGAATGAATTGGTTAATATTATTATTTTTTTTTATTATTTATTTGGTCAGGACATTGGTTTGGATTTCTTTTTCTTTTTCGTAAATCAGAAGGCCTCTGTTGTGCCCATGCATTGACAAACCACTCTTTGCTACTTGCTTTTTATAACAAACCAACAATTTTGTATCCATATACTTAAAGAATACATAGCATTGCATTTTTTCATTATGGAGATAATATTTCACAAAGTTGCTTAAATCTCACTTACAATTCAGGCATTTACATATCATTTTCAAACTATTTTGTCTTATTCACTATTTCTGCTGGCATTGTTTCTCACTTGGCCCAATTAAATAGGAGTATTATTTTTTAAAAAAAAGGTTTTAACTAAACATGCCCACGGTTCACAATGTTTCTAAATGTACATCTCACACAAATCATGCAGCTACAAATGTCAATAAGTTCACATTTTCCTTCTTCTGACAATCAGAAAAAAATGTAGTATGTACTTTTTGCAATATGATGTTTATATACAGAGCACATTGCTGAATTACCAGGCTGACATTAATATGTTTACTGCATTTCCATATTTAAATTCAGTTTTAGTTTATCATGCTCTTACAGAAAGAAAAATACCCAAACATACGACTGTGAATCTAACTTTGAAAGTGGATCATATATTATGATTTATGAGAATGATGGAACATCTGAGACAATTAAAAAAAAAAAAGTTAATCATTTTGCATTGTGATTTAACATTTTTTCCTGAAAGTCTCTCAGTTTCATAGCTGTCGAACAAGGTAGACATTTGATCCAAACAACCCAAGAAAGTCACATTTCATTTGCAGTAGTCAGCTTGTGCTCCTGTCTTTTAATCTCTGCCATTTCAACATCTACATTCAGACAGGCAGAAAACATTAACTGAAAAGGGAGAAGGAGAATGACAATAAAAAGAAGTGCCAGGTCAAGACAGCAACAATAACAGAATAAGGTCTAAACTAAGACAGCAAAATGGGTGAAAAAATGACATGAAAGGAAAATGATGCAGCGTTTCATTCTGATGCTTTCTGGAGAGCAAGATAGAGCCGCTTGTCATTGCTGCTGTCCATTGGCAACCTCTGAGTGCTGCATTCATTAGGAACACAAGATACAGAGAAATCACACACATATACACATGCACTTTCTCTGTTCCATTTCAGCCTTCTGCAGTGCAATTAATTATGGTCATATAGCCATTTCCACACACAGAGGGACCCTCTATACAACAGAAGGCATAATCTTTTAATGATCCCTATATGTGTCATTTTCAAATTTTATTCTTAAAAACCTAGAACACAAATTCACATATGGTTATTCTAGGTAAAAAAAAAGTACTATAAAAAACAGCTGGTATAAAAAAACAACTCATGAACTGCATTTCTGGTATGTGCTGTTTTTATTCTGAAATAATAATGTTCCTGGGCAGCAGACCATGTGTGACTGCATAAAAGCTCCAGCTCAAACCCTTGTAGTATGAAAGCTGTTAAATGTCAGAGTTACAGTTCATTAGTAGATTGCCTTCCAGACTTTGCTCTCAGCACTCAATACTGCTTTTAGTAGATGGTTTCAGTCAGTTATAAATTGATGAATAACCGTGGTGTGACCGACACCATAAGCTGCACCTGTAGTAAATGCCAATGTGTGATACTTCACTTGCTTTTGACCTTAACAGACACACTTGTTAGAAAAGCATCTAAAAAAACATTCCCTTTGTTGACATGCTGATGAAGCAGTTGGGTTGACAATAAAAAATATATTGATGGCAAAGTATATCAACTGAAGATAAAGTACCACCCCATTTGAAAGTCATGTTTTAATTTGAAATCAAGAAGTTTATTTCTGGAAAAACAGTGGGGTTAGTAATGTAGTAAAGCAGGATGAAGTTAGGATAAAGCAGGCTTTACTGCTGACCGATACCCATGTCGACTTTGCTCTCAGCCACGTTGCATCATATTCGCTTACAGACCAAAGGAGAAGATTTTTCCCATCAGCCTGTCTGCAAAACAATGACCATCACATTTAATTACAGTTAAGAGAGATCAAATAAACGCTGAGTAGCTTGAAGAAAAGGCTTCACACACATATACACAGTAGGATGACCTTGACCTGCGAGGTATCACTTGAGGCAGCATACATTACCATGCAATTATTTTTAACCTGATTTGTGGACAGACACTGCAGGTCGTTCAGATTTGCTGCTGGGGTGACGTGTGAGTAAAATTGTCTCAGTAGTGAATCTCAAACAGCAGATCATTTTCTCAATATCTGAAGTAGTATCAAAAAGGCTTCTGAAATATAAAATTAATGGTTTGCAAAAGAGTCAGTGAATATACATACATTTGATTAATATATCACTTTTTGATTTGCTCTAAAAATAAACGTGTACATTTCCACCTATTCTTCAGACAGTTGCCCTAAATTTTGAATACCAAATATTTTTTTTTCAAAATGAATAGAAAAAAACAAACATTTATTCAGTTCACCAAACAAAACAATTGGATGTAAATTACACATAGACTGATGTTTTCAAGCCTTTCTTTCTGTCAGTTTTGATCATTTTCTATGCACAGGAACTTACAACACATGTTAAGATTATAGTCCCACATGAGAACATTTTTAATACACATGTATTCTTCATTAAAAGCATGTGTAATAACTGCATATAAGTTATTGTCAAGAGGCATTTTTACTTCAAATATGACAAAGAGCTTCATCAGAACATTATTTGAATTTGACAAAATAAACTTCCAACTATAGCCTATTTTTATATTTATATCTTATTTTACATTGAAACATTATTGTACATTTGAGGAAGTTCATGAAGATATTTAAATAATGATTGGATTGAGTTAGACTGTAGTCCAAAACCAGAATATTTTGCACTAGAGCTAGAGAGGTACATATAGCAACATATGTTAAAAATCATTGTACTAGTTAAAGTGTTTTAACAATTCAGTTATCTTATTTAATGTCATTTTAGTAATTTGAGCTCACAGTGATGAATTCTAGGTCTGATGCTTGCTATATTTAATTTTCCTATAACAAGCATCTATACATCTGTCAGTGTATGCATCGACCCACTCTGCAGAGATTAGATAAACTAGATCAGGGATTGGTTCAGTAGTTTTAAAAATACCACATATTTAATTATCCAAAAACTCAATTCAGTTTTATATGAAAGTCTGTTTGTTGCTTATCAGCATAAAATGTGGTTAAAACCTGAGAAGTGCTAAGTGATGGATTTTCTCATTAAAATTGAAATTGAAGATACACTTTAACCTAATAGTTCTTCTACATAATCCACTGGAGATAATTGAGAATCTCGGGATGTGTGTATGTGCATGCATGTGTGTTACAAAACTGTGCTACTTATGACTTAGGATTTTATGTTCAAGGGTTGATTCCATGTATGTTTGCTGAACAGAATTGGGGCACCACCATAGCAACCAATGAGTCAGTTTTGTGCTGATTTCCCAGTTTTGTGCACTATCACAGTTCTTTACTAAAGGCATTGCTAAAGTGCCTCAGGTTCAGCTTACTGTCACCTTTACCAAGCAACGGCTTGCTCTAAAACTAATCCCATACTGAGACCACTGAACACTTTGGTCTTGCACGCTTCTGAATTTTTAAAACATTGTCTGTGCTATAGGAAGAGATTTTGTTAAATATATTTAATGGAAGCAACATTTGATTTCCAAATGCTTCTTGTATTATAAAACCTTTTAAAAGACTTCACAGCCAAAACTGACGGATTTATACTTTTTTTTTTTTGTAGTTACATTCATTGCTGTACAATTCCTTCTGTATCATTTTTTTTTTTTATCGTGACACCTAGCATTGAGGAGAAAGATTACAGAAAGTTTTTTTTTTTTGCAAACTTAAGATTTCCCTTTGTCTTGCACATCAGTGAGTCTTGTAAATATATTGTTTAAGCTTAAACTTGCACCGAGTATCCAGTAGCAGCATTGAAATAGGCAATAAGGGCCTTCCCTCTGGGAGCCGTAACATGGAGGAGCACTGCAGAAACTTGAACTCTTTTCACTATAACACATTTTTTATTGTTCAATACTTAAAACCATTCATTGCAAATTTGGTCTGGTATGGTCATCAAAATTTAGAACTAAAGTTTTCATTCTGATGTTGGATCTGACGTGCTGTTACTAAAAGAAAGTGGTGATGAATCAGGGAAAAATGCAGTTGAGTTTATCACTGCAGTGTGGGAGCATATTAATAATGTAGCGTGAGTGTAAACGTGTATGACCCTTTTGGATTTATGTCCTTGGATGGGATGCATGCATATCTTTTTATTTTCCCTGTACATGTGACCTTCTCTTTATGTTTATGTGCGCGCCCTTGACCATAGCACATCAAGCACAAACACACACACAAGACGTGTCTAGAATACGAGCCACGGCATGATGGTAGAAAAAAAGAAATTGCTCCCGTATCCAGGGGCAACGCAGGTAACAGCAGAATAAGCTGTGATAACTGAAGGAAACCCTGTTCTGCTGCCTTTCAAGAGCCCCAAGACATGCTTGAAGACATTTGCAGCTCTAACAGATTTTTGGAAACCGACTGAGTCATGTTCATAATGAAGAGATTTATTTTTTTGACAGATTCATGTAAGGATGGAAGACAACAGCTACAATGTTTATCAGGAGGATATAATTCCAGTCACATGTACAAGCTGTTGATTCCACTGATTAGCTCTGTCTGCCTGGTTGGTAGTGCGTTAATCAGTGTAATCACCTGATGTGGTGATAATGCTGGAGCTTAATCCACAGTTTTTTGGCTCACCTTGACACATCAATACCTCATTAAAACAGTCTTCTGATGACAGATTTACTTTCACAGATGAAATCTTAATAAATTCTTCCTTCCCTGAAGGATTAAATTGTGTTCACCAAAGATTTGGGAACCAGCAGGCCAAAAGTCAATGCTGTCTTGAGAA